AAGAAACTGGTTGAAAGGTCGCAGACAGAGGGTGGTCATCAATGGTTCTGTGTCCAGGTGGGGGCTGGTAACGAGCGGCGTCCCCCAGGGGTCTGTCTCGGGACTGGTGCTCTGTAACATCTTTATCAATGACATCGGTGATGGAATCGAGTGCACCCTCAGCAAGTTTGCTGACGACACCAAGCTGAGTGGTGTGGTTGACACGGTGGAAGGAAGGGATGCCATTCAGAGGGACCTCGAGAGGCTAGAAAGGTGGGCCTGGGTGAACCTGATGAGGTTCAACACAGCAAAGTGCAGAGTTTTGCACTTGGGCTGGAGGAATCCCAGGCATCCATACAGACTGGAAGGAGCGGGCCTTGAGAGCAGCCCTGTGGAGAAGGAACTGCGGGTCCTGATGGATGAAAAGCTGAACATGAGCCAGCTGTATGCTCTTGCAGCTCGGAAAGCAAATGGTATCCTGGGCTCCATCAGAATAGAGGTGGCCAGCAGGGACAGGGAGGTGATTGTTCCCCTCTACTCTGCTCTTGCGAGGCCCCATCTGGAGAACTGTGTCCAGGTCTGGAGCCCCCAGTACAAGCAAGACTGGGAGCTGTTGGAGAGAGTCCTGAGGAGGGCCACAAAGATGATCAGGGGACTGGAGCACCTCCCCTATGAAGACAGACTGAGGGAGCTGGGCTTGTTCAGCCTGGAGAAAGGAAGGCTACAGGGTAACCTGATTGCAGCCTTTCAGTACCTAAAAGGAGCCTACAAACAGGAGGGGAATCAACTCTTGGAAAGGGTAGATAACTGCAGGACAAAGGGAAATGGTTTTAAGTTGAGGGAGGGAAGATTTAGGTTGGACATCAGGGGGAAATTCTTTACAGAGAGAGTGGTGAGGTGCTGGAACAGCTGCCCAGAGAGGCTGTGGATGCCCCATCCCTGGAGGTGTTCAAGGCCAGATTGGATGGGCCCTGGGCAGCCTGGTCTAGTATTAAATGGGGAAGTTGGTGGCCCTGCATGTGGCAGGGGGGTTGGAGATTCATGATGCTTGAGGTCCCTTCCAAATCAGGCCATTCTGTGATTCTGTGATACTTTTATGCTGTTCTTTATCCAAATTTCTAAAAGAATTCTGCAAGAAACCTGGGGGAATTGACCTTTGCTGCTGTGTCAAAACCTGTTTTTCCCAGCTCGTTCACAACACTGCACAGGACTAACAAAGTGCAGGAGCCAGCCAAACAAGGCTGGCTTGAAGAAGAGCACAATCCTTAAAAAATAAAGTTCCTATCATTTGATGCTACTTGGACAGTATTTGATCAAGCTGTGAAAGAAGGAAAGTTGAGTGGTTTTTGCAGGGTGCCCTGAAAAAACATTTCCAAATCCAAAGTTGTTCACAGAATTTCTGCCAGTTTTCTTCCTTCCATGCATGTTTGTCTTTTGTGAGAAGGAAGTGCAACATCTAGCCCATAGCCATTACAATTACAACACTATGCCTCTAGTAGAGCCCTCCTATAGACTTGCAAGTTGATGAGCCATAAATCTGCCCAGAAGCTGTATGAATGAGTTTTATCTAACAGCAACACTTCTTATTCACATTTCTGGTGGTAGCAAGGTACCACAGGAAAACAAAACCAGCACAGAACTGCAGCTTAGCACAAACTTCAGCACACACAGGAAAATCCTACTTAACATTACAATGGCATGAAAGCTATTCTCTTTATGTTAGTTATTCTAGGTAAGTAGAAACTTTGCCAATTTGGAAAACTGCTGAATTAAAAAGTGAGATTTTAATTACAAAATGTCATTTATGAAAACACGCATGTATTTAGGCCCAACCATGTTTTTTGACAAGGCAAGGAACCTTTTGTTTATTACTGACAGCCATGAAATAATATTTATTTTCTTATTCTTTGCCACTGGGATAAAATTTTCTCTGTACTTGTTCAGGTCACCCTACCCATTATGTATGGGTCATACCAGTATCCAAATCCCTACCGCAGCTCCTGAGTTTTCTATCCACAAGTCCAAGCACTCCCACTGCACACAGCCACACAACAGCCACGTTCCATAGTGGTGAATGTCTCACCAGTGGCCAAAGCAAAGCAGGTGCTCACAAAATTGGGGGAATTACACCACACTGAGTCTGACACACCTTGCACACTTAGTGATTCAATACAGAAAGCAGTCTGAGATTCCCTTAGCTGCAAGATGCTGCCACACAGCACAGCAGTGAGGAGCTTATAAGCCATTACTCATACCTCCTGCTTTAGACTATAGTAATTGGCATGTTACTTTCTATCTCGTCTTGGAAGTGAGAAACAACATACAAGAGCACTACAGCAATTTGTCAATGAATGCTGATAGTGACAAGAAGACATCTAGGCTCACCACACCTTTCAGATCTACTTTTAATCTCAGCCTGTATTCCACCAATCTGCTATGGCTTCCCATTTCTACTATAAATACAATGCAGGAACACATCTCAAGGACAAAACCAACAGCAGAGATGCCTCATGCCCCTTGCATTCGCATCTCATTTTGCTTCCCAAATCATAGCTGACATCAGGCAGTGGAGAGAAAATAAAAGAATAACAAAGAGAAGGGTCTTCAGCTACAGATGGTAATGAAATTTTGCTCACACAAGGACTAGCCTAAATCCTTGCCAAATTAAAACGTTCTTACTCCTAATTTGTGGTGCCAGCAATCCTCAAGAGGCTGAGAGGTTAGGAACGTGTCACAGCAGTAACAGCCAATCCCCCATACACTGCCCTCCTGGACAGCAAAGCTGGGCTTTGAGATTTTTTAGGGACTGGAGCTACTAAAACCTTAAACTGTGCATTTAAGTAGCATTTACAGGCAGAAGAAGATAGGAAGGAAAAAAAATAAATGTTTTTTGCTCTTTTCCAAGTACAATTTAACTGCTAGATCAATATCAAGTGGAGCTGGGCGTGCTTTATGGCCTACTGTCAGTTCACAATGCTTGAAGAACAGCGTAGATAGATACCAACCTGTTGGAAAGTGCCCACCAAAAAACACATTGAATATTTCTTCTGGTGTAATGTCTGCTTCAAATTCTGTGTAGTAATTATAGTGCCTGGCTTGGCCAGTGCTGACATGCTCGTGGTCACTTCCATATTCATCGTATCGTAATCGTTTCTCAGGGTTGCTCAGAACTGCAAAAGCATTGCCTATTGCTGGAGAATGAAGTAAAAGAAGTGTTACAATGCAGTACTTCTGGATATAAACAGATGAGCAAAATGCTCAAGTCATAAAAAACGTGTGCTTGGCCAAAGACTGATTTACTTTAGAAAGAACTGCCTTTGTATAAGAAGCATTAGAACACCACCATTACCTGCGACAAAACCTGTCTCCTACCAGGAGAAAGACACAAACGTTGAAGTACATGGGGAGAGGTGAAGTATTTGGAAAACTTAAAGGCAAGAATCCTCATTTATCAAAAGGCTGAGGAAGAATGTAGCTTTTAAATCAGGCTGAACTAAGTACTGACATAGAGGTGCACCTCCACGCACAAAGTTCATAACTGCAGAGAGCAATTGGCACGCAGACCCACATTCCAAGCTTTTCTGCCAGCAGAGACCTTTACGAAGCAGTACCTGTGCATCTATTCACAGTGCACGTCAAACCACCTGGAAGGAGCAGCCTGTCTGCTTCATCTTCTTCCTTCCTCTTTGTCAGAAAGCAGCTGTGAACAGTTCATACAGAAACACAACCCCAACACAACAAATAAGGAAACGTCCTTCCAAAACCCCTCATTTGGACAGGCAGCGGGTAAAACCTTTCCTTTTTTAGGGCTGACTCACAACGCTTCGCATCCAGCTGCAACACAGCAAGGGTGCAGAGGACGCACGAGTTCAAACCGCAGCACAGAACGGCTGGGGCAGGAAAAGCCCTCCGCGATCACCTCGGCCGCCCAGCACAGCGCCGAGCTCGCAGCCCCCACCTTTGAAAGCCTCCGTGGCTCCGGGAGCGCGGTTCTTATCGGGGTGGAACTTGAGGGCCAGCCGGCGGTAGGCCTTCTTCAGCTCCTCGTCGGTGGCATCCCGCTCCACGCCAAGGATCTCGTAGTAGTTCCGGCAGCTCTTTATCCTGGAAGCGCACACGGGAGCGGCGTCACCGCCGGGCACGGAGCATCCCCTCAGCATCCCCTCAGCATCCCCTCAGCATCCCCTCAGGCCCGGCACCTCTCCGCCCCGCCGCCCCCGCCGGCTCGGCCCGCGGCTCCCGCCACCCGCCCCGTCTCACCGCCGCACGCCGTCCAGCTGCTCCGCCGTGTAGGTCATGGCAGGCCCGGGGCAGCCCGACCCTCGAACCGCTCACCACCCGCCGCCCCGGCCCGCCCGCGCCGCCATCTTGTGCGCGGAGGCGGCGCCCGGGGAACGCCGGGAACGGCGGCCGGGACTACAACTCCCAGCGGGCAGCGCGGCGGTGACGTCATACGGGGGCTCGGTGACCTCATAGGGTTTCCCTGCTCAGGGAGCTCCTCCAGGGACCGTGACTCCACGCCTCCCTGCGCTGCTTGAGCCGTTGCGTCACCGCTGCTTCTAGAAGAAACGTTTCCTAGCATCCTGGTGCAGCTTGAAGCCGGCTCCTCTCTTGTACCGCTGTTTCCTGGGAGCAGAGGCTGAACTCTTCCCCCTCATCCCCCCTCCACACACTGCTTTCTGTCAGGAGTTGCACAGAGCAATGACAGCCTGCCCTGCGCCTCCTGCAGACTGAACAGCCCCCGTTCCCTCAGCTGCTCCCACAAGACTTGTGCTCCAGACCCCTCACAGCCCTTCTCTGGACACATTCCAGGCCCTCGATGTCTTTCTTGCAGTGAGGAACTCAAAGCTGAACGCAGCACTGAGGCGCAGCCTCACCAGAGCTGAGTACAGAGGGATGATCGCACCCTGCTCCTGCTGGCTGCACTATTTCTGCCATAAGTCAGGTTGCCATTGGCTTTTTTGGCCACCTAGGCACACTGCTGGCTCATGTTCAGCCACATGTCCACCAACACCCCCAGATCTTTTTCCCCCACGCAGCTTCCAGCCACTCTGCCCCAAGCCTGTAGCACTGCGTGGGGTTGTTGTGGCCAAAGTGCGGGATGCAGCACTTGGTCTCAATGAAGCTCATCCCACTGGTCTCAGCCCAGCTCTCCAGCCTGCCCAGCTCCCTCTGTAGGGCCTTTCTACCCCCAGGCAGATCAACCCTTCCCCACAACATGTTGTCATCTACAGACTTTCTGAGGGTTCACTCAATGCCTCCATCCAGATGATCAGTAAAGATGTTAAACAGGACAGGCTCCAGCATTGACCCCCAGGAACACCACCCGTGACCAGCTGCCACCTGGGTGTAACTCCATCCACTGCCACTCTCTGGGCCCAGCCATCCAGCCAGATGTTTACCCAGGGAAGAGTACACCTGTCCAAGCCATGGGCTGCAGCTTCTGCAGGAGAATGCTGTGGGAGGCAGAGGCAAAAAGTTTGCTCAAGTCTACGTTGACTACTTCTCCCCCCACATGCCAACTAAACTGGGCTAATGAGCTGTGAGAGAGGACCTTTGGGTGCCGTGGCTGCTGGCAGTAATGAGTTGGTGCCTTCCACCAAGCAGCTTGCAGGAGTGAGCCCAGCATGGGCTATGCACAGCACCCAGGAGCACCCAGCTGCACCTGGATGCTGGGCTCACACTGCTTCCACTGTTTTAATTCAGTTCTTTCTTTTGAACAGTGTCAGAACTTTGTTTTGCTTTTGGATGTGGTTCAGTTGCAGACTAGAGCAGGCTCAGTTTGTTGTTTGTTGTTGTTTTTTTTTGTCAAGACCCTAGAGAGGCTATGGGAAGAAAGATGATGATTTCAGGGGAAGGAAAACTAAAGTAGGGATGAGATCCCATGAGACAGCCCTATATAGGTCAGTATGGCTTGTTGGGAAGTGGGGGGAGGAACTGGGCACTCGCTGCCGTGTTTGATATTGCAGGTGAGCACAAGACAGCTGTGTTCAACCTGTTTGTGAGCCTCCATGCACTGGGTCACAGGGCTGAGACCTGCAACCTCTTGAGCACACTAAGCTGGGCATCACCTGGGAACTGGTGTTTACACAAACTCACCTCTCTGGTGGAGGAAGGGTTTTACTTTGCTGAGAATTTTACCAGAAAATCTTCACTAAAAACGAAACAAAACAATAAAAATCACTTATAAAAATACCTGCTGTATATGGTAAACATAGAAAGTCCATTGGCAATGATCTTAACAAGAGTTGCATTGCATTTATTATGCTGAGCACTTCATTGTGTGCTGCAAAGCACAGCTACCTTTAGCACTGTGTGCTCCAGTAACCAGCTCGTATCCATCCTATAAAATTAGATCAAGCTAAATTATATGTTTCACTGGACTGTACAGGGGAATGCGTGCAGTGATACCTATTTTGCCTGCTTGGATAAATCCTTTTTCCTTGATTTCACAATTTACCTTCAGGGCTGATAGATTTTGATGCTTGTGGTAGGAGAAATCAACTTCTCAGCATATTGCTGCCAAGTAAATGAGGTGCTCCAAGGACTCTGACTCAGGAACTGGTAGAGCTTGAAGCCAGGAGTCTCACGAAGACAGGCAGAGGCAAAAGCAGCCGAAGAGTTAGTGCTTTAGTGCATTATGCAGCTGAGATCTCCAGAACTTCCCAGTAGAGCCTTGTTCCCATTACAGTCACATGGAAGCTGAGTATTGATGACCCCATCACGCCCGTAGCTCAGCTGATAGGGCTGTATTTTGCAGTGGGTGGGCAGTGATTGGCAGCTGTGCCCCAGGAGGGTGGGCTGTGAGCCAGCCAGTTCCTGGGGTGAGCTGTGGCACTGCACAGGTTAGCAGAGCACTGTTCTCATTATCACAGCAGGGATGCATCTGTGGTGCTTGTAGCTGCTGTGGTGTGGGTGCTTGGAACCAGGGGTGTCTGCTTCTCTGGTCTGTTGGGAAGATCTGGGAAAGCAGCAGTACAGAAGACTGAAGCTCTCCCAGTAAACTGGGGCTGCTGAACTTCAGGAGTTGGAGTAGCTCAGAATTTTGCTTATGATCACTCAGACAAAGTCCTGGCAAAGCAGTGGTGTTGCTTTTGTACTTCAAACCACTCTTCTTCATTGTATGTTGAACTTGTGGGAAGATACAGACCCTTCTGCCTGAAGCTCAGACGCTGATAACGAAGCGTTAAGATGGCAGTTTGCATTTCAGCAGCACCTTTAATTCCCTGCTCTCCAAATGCTCTACAGGCACTGGTTAACATAACCTCACAACGGCTCTGTGAGGTAGGTGGGCACGGTCACCCTGACTCTGTGCAGAAGGGGCTTGGAGCAACTGTGCTATGATTTGACCTAGCACCTGGGTATTTAAGTCCTATTAGGCCTTCAGCTTCAGACCATGCTTTTCTAATGCACAGGTTTAGCTCAATGGGGGTCTACGCTGATTAACTGTCTGGCAAGGCTGTGGCTGTCTGGCACAGGCTGTGAAGGCCATTAATCCAAGACAGCAGGTTTTTAGCTGAGTAGTTGGTTCCTTCGTACTTCTTGCTGCTGGAAAAATCTGAGGCTCTGAAGGCCAATCAAAAATGCATTTAGATATCAACCATTGAGTATGACAGGCTGTAGCTGGAGAAAGCCCTAATCCCCCCCAGATGGGGAAACTACTGTATGTGTATTGATCAGGAAGAGCATAATAATTTACAAATAAAGTCCACCCTTGTCCTCTCCCCAAAGGAAAAAAAAAAAGCCTAGAAATTCAAGTGTCAGCTTCTAGTTCTGGGTTGTTGGTTTCATAGCACCTGCAAAGAGAACAAAATGTGGTACATCAGCAGCCTATTTGGGCTGGCGAAAGAAATTAAGCAATGTGGTCCCTCAAACCAAGTCTAAGTGCAAATTTAGTTCTAAAACCAACAATGCTATAAATTTCTCATGTGGAATGGAGCTGAGAGGACTGATAGGAATGTGCTCCAACATCACTAACAGCTCTGCAGAGCAGGAGAATATGGGAAGCTTGGACTAGAGGGAGGGACATTGACTTCAGAAAGGTAATTTTTTTAATCTCTAAACTTAATGACTGTAGCTCTGGCTGGCACCCATAAGTATGAAATATTTGAGTTCAAGCAGCTTGGATAAACTTGAAACGGGCACCCAAAATTTTACCAGGCTCACTGGAACCTGGTTGGACCTGTAGGAGTTTGCTGGCAGCTGCTTGTCACTACATTTCTGAAGGAGTAAAAGCAAAGCAGGTATCTCAAAGGCACACCCTTATCCAGCAGGAGAAATATTCCCCAGTTTGCTCTCTAAAAAGCAAGGCTTAAAAGGAAAACCTTTTCTGATGGTGGGTAAGTCATGCTGTTGTTCATATTGATGTTCTTCATGGAGATCAGAGTGATGCTGTTATCCTTCTCGCTTGTGCCTGCAGAGCAGCTGTCAATGAGAGAAAGCATTAATTACTCTGGAAAATAAGAAGGGAGTTTCTTCACACAGTGAGGTAAACAAACAGAGCTGAGGCCAGCTGGGATGCCAGGACCAGGGCTGATCTCAGTTCTGTTGTCCCAATCCAGGCACACCCTTAGTGCCAAATTCCTCCACTCCTTGGTACTTCTGCTCATGTATTGCCAGGCCCCAACTTCTGAGTGAGAGGTACAAGTGTTAGGAAGGGGGGATTCGCCTTTCTCCCTACCCTGAGGGCTGGATAGGCATTCAGTGCCAATGGAGGCTGGATGGTGCTGGGGATTAGGGTGCCTTAATGCCCCATCTCAGTGGTTGCAGATCACATAGATCATTATCATAAGGGGTAAATACAGGAACCACTGATGCTGATGCAAATTCTCACATAAATATTGAAGAACCCTGCTCCCTGTGCTCCCTGCACCCTTCCAAAAAGGGGGGTATTACTCAGATGGGAAAGGATAGGGAAGTAAGAGCAATGTGCAGTGATACCTTTTCCCCTTTTTAGGTCCCTTCCAGCTCTTGCTTCATGACGCTTTCTGTGTGCAGCTTTTCTATTTGGGTAGCAATGATTCTTTCTGGGGTACACACAGACCGTTCTCCACTTGACACTTTTCTTCCAAAGGGCTCTGAACTGAGACCCCTCTTTATCCTACTTGTGCTAGGTAACAGCAATAGTGGTATTGGGAAATAACTGGGGGGGGGACCTAGTTTATTTCTGCTGAGACTACTTTGAGCTTCAGAAGCCCAAGGTCAGATCTCAAGTCTGTATCTAGCCAAGAAAAGACAGGCAAACTCCTTTTTGGAAGCTGATGATCTTTCATTGATATCAGCACAGCTGAAAAATGAGGCCCCTAAATGTTGAACTTCTACCTTTGATTCCATCGGACACAGGATGAGGTTTAACAGCACTCACTGTGTTTTTCACCTCTCTCAGAGCCCTGAAATGCCTTTTTTTCCCCCCATCTGATGTAACCAAAGTTGCCTTTTTCCTGTGCCAAAATTAGTTGTGCAATAAAATATAATTTTCAACAGGATATGAATAATGTGAGCAGCCTTACCTCTCTGATACCATGGAGCTCCCTGGCTTCTGTTTGTCTGGAGGGAGAAAAGCATTGGTGATGTGCAGGTGAGGAAACATCGCAGCTATGCAATAAAATAAGTCAGCTGTATTCTGAATCATGTTGTACAGGGTTATAAATGAAATCCACACGAAATTAGAGTCACCACTGGATAACTGAGAGTTGATTAGAGAAAATGCTTCAAGTAAATTAGCATTATACAGGCAGGAGTGAATGCTTTGCTGCCTGTTTAATTGCTGGCATCCTCCAGTCTTCTGGCAGTTACCAGCCTTGCTGTAGAGCAGTCTTGCCCTCTAGTGGGCAGTGCTTAACGTGAAATAGGATTCTGCGGGAAAATCGGTGTCAACCTGCGATTTCTGCAGGAAATTTTCACACTTAGCCACGTCAGATACAACAAACTTAAGGCTGTTTCCTTGTGCGCATGGGTCTGGACTGAGGCTCCAAAGAAGTGGTCACACTCCATTCCTAACTATGATTCAAAACCTCCCCATTGGATAAGCTGCTGTTTTTGTATATGCGTGTGTGCCTCTATCATTTTGGAGCTGCCAAATGAAGTCAGAAAACAATGACTTTTCAACCAGGGAAGGACAGGCAGCCCCAGACAAATACCTTCTGAGTCCTTGGAGCGACTGCACTTGAACCTCAGGCTGACCACGCTGACGAGGATGATCACAACCACAACCAGGATGACTATGAAGCTGATGACACCTGTGGATGGATGAAGAAACCTTCTAATTAATCTAATAACTCTCCTGTCCTTGTCTTCTGGGGCAGTGCAGGCTCTGGACTCTCAGCATGATTTGTGTAGGAAATCAGTATTTTCATTACAGCAAGCACGGGATGTAATAGGTAGAAAAGTAAATAGTTACTGGAGTGAGTGACCTAATCTTGTGCTTTAGCTTCAGAGGGCTTCTGGTGCGTGCTTAGTTGGTAAGGCAGCGATAGGAAGGCAGAGGTCAATTGATTACACTGGCAATTAATTAGAGTCACCATGTCCCTGTTGCAGTTGAGAAATCTGATCCTAAAGGTGTGTGCAGTCAGATAAATACATAATATAATGGAGAGAGACGAGTTATTGACTTTGAGCAGTGTTAGCTATCTCATGGACCAGTGACCAAGCACAGGTTTGATTCTGACATCTGGCAACTATCAATTAAACTGTGCTTTGTTAAGATGGCTTTAGAGCTCTTAGCGGGACAGTGCAGCCCAAAGAAAAGTGGGTATCTTAAATCTACCCTGTGCCCATCCTTAAAGCCCTTGTCTGGATAAATTATGGCATCTCTTGCTCCATCCTTGCACAACCTCTGAATGGTGTGAGGAGTTGGCTGCTTCCTGCTAAGCAGGGTGGAAACATACAGGGGAAGGAGTTTGGTAGGGCTGGAACAGAGCTGTACAAGTTTTCAGGGTTAAAACAAAGTTGTCTAAGCTTACAGGAAGGTACGACATCTATTGTATTCCATTTCAGGGAAACCAGGGCATGGAATGGGGTAATTTCTGCCTAGGTCTTGCTCTGGGAAGAAGATCCAGAGTTCAGGCTCAGCCATAACACACTCTCAAACTCCTTCCTTGTTAGGCTGGATATGGCTAGGAGTGTTTATTCGTCGATGTGTTACTTGGTGGTAACAAGTTTTTTCTCAAGAGTTTTCCCTTGCTCTCTGAAACCTCCAAGATTGGGCAGGGTGAATGAAACTGAGGAGAGCTGTCCCAAGGGAGATTTCTTCAAGGCTGGGTGTTCTAACCTGCATTGACAAAACAGGTTCCCTCCTTTCCCCTGGTTGCACAAGACCTTACCGAAAGCTACCACAGTCAGTGGAGACTCGTATTCTGCTGGGGTAGGCACGAGCAAAGACACAGAGATTCCCAGTGCTGTGGTAACTGTTCTTGAGGTGCCTACAAGAGGGGGAAAATACCGTCATACAAAGCCTTTCTTCCAAGGTTGGGAAGAAGATTTCTAGTGGTACTGCATGGTCTAACTCCCATTTGCGCTTTACTGAAGAGAACAACTGAGGATCACGGGCAGCCCCACCAATGTGAGCATCCTCAGTGGGAGTCAGATTGCATTGGCGTGGCTCTACTTATCAACAATCTGAGAAAGTGATTCCCCACCCACAGGCTTTTCTGCTGGGACAGCAACAAGGAAGCTGAGCACGGCAGGTAAAGGACTGATCTGGCACGTTTGAGGAAGGAGCTTGTCCTGCCTCCCCATCTTACAGCCTTTTGCCACAGTCACCTTTTCCTGCTGTGGTTCACAGCCACTGTACTCAGGTGTGACATGTAACCCCAGAGTGCTGCTTCTGCAGAGCTTTGAAGGCTTTTGAAGGGCTAGATGGGATGGCCAGCAGCCCTTGGGTTCTTGTTATCTCTTCATCATAATGCCTGAAAATAGCAGTGCTATGGCATTGCTGTTGGCTGGAAAAAGGGCTGTGAGACATCTACTGATGTCTGTTTCTATGAGAGAAAGGAGAAAGCACCTTGAGTTACTGCTGCTGTAGTACTCTCTCTTCTCTTGGACTCTTCACCTGTGCAGAGGAAATGCAGAAATGAGTCTTGTCCTTGAATGTCACATACTAAGCCAAAGAATGAATGTACGTGCTGGAGAATGTATTCCAGTATGGCTGGTGATGCAGGAAAATGGGAAATTCATTCTCAGGCTGAATCTTTCCTAATCACAGCATCATAGAATCATAAAGACTGGAAAAGACAACTAAGATCATCCAGTCTGACCCCAGCCCACGCCCACCATGCCCACTAACCACATCCCTCAGTGCCACATCTCCAATAGTTCCTAAACACCCCTGGGAATGGTGACTCTCCCACCTCCCTGGGCAGCCCATGCCAAATGCCCTTTGTACTGTTTTCTCCAAATTTTTCTTCAGATAAAGAAACAAGAAATTCAAATAGTCCTGTCTAAGTGCTCAGGTTTAGTTTCTGCAATCATTCATGCATTTTTTTTGGCAGGTATAGGAGTTAAACACTGGAATAGTGAACTAGGGAAAGCTACAGATTTGCTATTGCTCATAAACGAACAAACAAACAAGCTGGTTAGGGGAGGCAGTTCTGCAGAACGTGGGTATGGATCAGCTGCTTGGCTCGTTTGACTTGAAGATGAAATTAGTGGGCATGTCTTGCATGCTGTTTTATCTAGAAGTAACTAAGCTAGTTTGAGTTGGGCTACTTGACCAATATACAGTCCAGCTGTGGCAGCGCAGAGTTTTTTTCAAGAGAGATCTCCAGGATCTTTTTTTCTCTTCCCATCCCCTCCCTCCCAAAAGCAGTGTTGGCCAAAGTAGGTGCTGCCCAGAGAGGTGCAAATCAGCTCCTGGCAGTGGGGCACGGGGTGGGCAGCTGTGTGGAACTGGGGCTCCTGCCTTTGGGAAAACATCAGGGTTTGGAATGTTCTTTTGCCCAAAGTCAGAAGAATGCAGAGATACAGTGAAGTACCAAATTGAACTGGTTAGAAATCAGCAATGACATGGACACAGTGCTCCTGAGAAGCAGGAGCAAGTTGTACAGCTACCAGCTGCACTGTTTTCTCTTGTTTTGTTCTGAAATGGTTCTTTCAGCCACAGGTGGAGGACAGAAGCTTTGTGTGCTGAGCCTGCCATGCGTTCCTCAGTCCTGGGAAATGCTGAGACTCACTCAACAGGAGCTCTGTCTTTTGGAAGCATCAGCAGCGTTTCTGTTGCTGAAGATGTATGGAGCTTTTCAGCTGAAGCAGGGTTATAATTAATAGCAATCTGCTGTGATGTGAAGGGCTCCTGGCTTAGCTGGGCACAGACACGCTGCTTGGACATCTGTCAGGCACGGCTGACCATGGGTTTTTAACCTTGCATGAGTGAGGGAAGATCTGAGAGGCAAAGCAGTTTTTCAGTCTCAACAATTCTAGGTCTGAGTCTTTAATGGAGAATCTGATCAGATCTCAGATTTCAGTATTCCCACTTATTTGGATTCTGTCCTTATTCTGAGAAAACTCCTCCTGAATTCTCTAACTTTTGCTTAAAAGCCAGATTAAACAAACCATCAGAAGCAAAATGAGGGTTTTTGAAAGGGTGCTAAAAGTGCCACACTGTTCCTAAATGTAAATCAGTCTTCCAACTGTTCAAGTTCATCCCAAGCAGGGGATGCAAGAAGATTTCTCTTGTGTTTTATCACCACCTGTAAGGATAGCAGAGGTGATTTTGAGGGTTCAACACCAAGAGAGAGTAGTGCTTAAATAACCTGTGCCATGTAAATAAAACAAGCCAATTGCTGTGAAATTGTCTGCACCTATTGTCGGTCTATAAAAAAATAAAGTACCTGGAGTTGATGCAGCTGTTGTGTTTCTGCTTCCACTGGACTTCTCATCTGGATAAAGAAAACACAGCAGAGGAGAATTAACTTTAGAAGCTGCTGTTAGTTATGCTACAGAGAACCGTTGCTTATAGGTATAAAACAACAGGAGGGGAACTCCAAACCAAAATCAAGATGTCCAGCTGCCACATCCAGGCTGTACACATCCAGCCATGTGTATCTGGTGAGCTGGAATGAGCTGCTTTTTCAGCAAAAGCTGAAATGTATTCAAAAGTGTGCTGCATTGACAGCACGGTGTGGTCCAGTGGGGGCTTTATGATGCACCCACGTTTGCATGGATGAGAAAGGATGCATGGATAGGTCCCACCTGAGCAATAGTGGGGGTTTTCCCACTTTGTGTACTTACCCTGTGCAGATGATGTTAGCAGGGTTGGAGAGATTGAGGAGGGTTTTGTTGTGGTGGTCTGGTCCACAGGAGTGAGATTCAGGTCAGCTGGTGCTGCTGACTTCACTGAAGCCTCTGTAAAGTAAAAGTAACGGTACTTTAAAGAGCTCTGCTCAGAAACTGCTCAGTGGGGGGCTTCTGCAGTACACCCTCCTGTTCTCTGGGGGCTGTGGGGAAGCAGCTAGCCCTGCTGAAGGAGTCAGGGTTTCCATGCTTTGCTTCTTTTGGCAAGCTTGGCTGTGTGAGGAGGTGCTGAGCTGGCAGAGCTTGGGGTGCATGCAGACAGTCTGGCTTTCCTACCACCTCTTTTCCCCGCTTTATCTCAAAATAAAGATAATTTCTTTATGTATGTTATCACTGGACACTAACTGGCTCGAGCTGCCTGGCACCCATGTGTTTATTTGCTCGTGATGTGAAATGCTAACTTCCATGTTTCCTTTTGCTGAGTCTCTAAGCACAAATCATTTACTTCTTGCAGCCTGGAGGCTGACATCTTCCTCAACCACATCCTGAAAGGAGCCAGAGCAGGAACCCTGCAGATCCAGAGCAAGATAGCAGGGGGAAAGGGAATGCTGTCACAGAGCAGATCACCAAAGTGGAATCTATAGGCAAGTTACTCATCTAGGCTTGTGGCCTTCCATTAATATGAGCAAAGAGTGAGAATGGTTTTAAGCTTTTTCCTTTTATCCAAACAGTTCACTGAAATGTTGAAATGGGGAGTCTTTCTTTTTCTTTTTTTTTTCTTTTTCTTTTTTTTTTTCTTTTTCTTTTTTTTTTTCTTTTCCTTTTCCTTTTCCTTTTCCTTTTCCTTTTCCTTTTCCTTTTCCTTTTCCTTTTCCTTTTCCTTTTCTTTCACCTGTAAGGCATGGCAGTAGAATCTGAGACCGTTTTGAGGATCTTTTTCCCTTATTTTTTAGGGGTCTCTCTGAAAGGGGATCTCTTTCTAAGCAGAGCGAGATCTTTCCCTGTTATGTTCTCTTCCTCAGGGAGAAACAGGAAACACATTGACCTGTTGTGTGGGAGGTGCTGAGGCTGTGTGCAGAACTGGAATTTTTTGTCTAAAAAAAAAAAAGTGGTTGTGTTTATTGAGAAAGCAGTATTGAACAGTGAATGTAACGCAGGGAAACTCCTCTAACAATGGCTTAACTGCTGGTTCACTTCCTTTATGACACCCAACATCCAAGGACAGACCTGGTTTGTGAGGCACTGTGCTTACACGTACTGGGCACCCAGCTCTCTATGGGTTAAGGGCTGCCCAGCAAAGTGGTGATGTCAGGAAGGTGTGGACACAGGCCAATCTTCTTCCCTCTTTGGAGGATTACAGACACCCACAATCTTTCCCTGTTGGGGTTTTTTACCTGAGGTATTGTTCTCTACTTCATGGTTGTGTGTTGTTAATTGAGGTTGATCTGTAACACAAGCAGAGACATGGAGGTGACATCTAGATGTGCTGGATTCTTGCAGGAAGGTTTGAAGGATGGGCCAGAAAGGGGTTCTTATGGCCCACAAGAATGAAAGGGGGTGATGGGAGCAAGAGGTGCTAAGGAGTGGCCTCTCCATTTGCATCCCCATGTGGGCATGTGCACCCACATCCCAGCAGGCATTTAAATTGGATCACAACCCAGGAAGTTACCTGTGACACTGTGGATGGAGGAGTCTGTGGCAGATGTAGTACCTGAAATGGAACGACAGAAGTGTTAACAGTGCCAACCTGTGACCCTAACTCTCTCCAGCACGTCACTGTTCTCGCTGTGTGATTTGGGTTTCCTTCATCTTCTGAAGGAGTGACTTTGAAATACATGATTTCCCAAAAAGAACTGGGTAAGAAGTAGTAACCAACACTGTTGGAAATTATGTGCTTGAACACAAGGACATTCATTTCTGAGTAACTCAGAACTGGAGTTTGTTCAGTCAGGATAAATGCCCTTCCCTCTGCACAAAACCAAACCCTTTAGTCAACGTCCTTCCTCTCTCATGGAGAAGGCCATACAAATCAGTAGTATTGCTCTCTCCCTGTGATCTTCTTGCCTCCAGCTCAGCCTTGGCAAAGAAAAGCCATTTGACCTGTTTTTTCTAGAGTTGTTTAAAAGAGTTGTTTTGGAATGCTTTGAGACCCTTGAGACCTTAATGAGTGGATAAATGAGGTTGTGAAGGTTGCCAGGAACTAATGGGACTGTTTTCTTAACTGAATGTTTTTGGATTTGCAACAAGACATTCCTTCACCATCTTCCACGTTGTCTACTCTCTGATGTTTTCTTTAAGCTTCAGCTCCTGGAATCCCATGATTAGACAGGTGCCAATTAAAAATGTTGCCATATAAAAAGGGAAAAAAAGAACTACCCAGTTCCCATACGTGGGGACGAGGATGGCAGGACATAAATACACATGATGCTTGAACCAAAACCAACTGGCTTAACTTTGAAGAAGCGACCTTGTCTGCCATTATTGAAACACACATCCTAATTGTGTAACATTTTAATATGATTATTGCTGGTGATAGCAGTGCTGCCCTTAGTTAAGATGCATGAAAGAAACTACATTACAGCCACAAAACCCAAAAGAATCCGGCCTTGCTGGTGATCCATCTCACTAGAGTCCCACGACAGCTGATAGTTCCTCCAAGTTTTGGACAAAAAGGGACAGCAGTGAGGGCTGAGTCCTCTTTGCAAGGGCTGACAACCCATGGGGAGATCCAGCAAAGCAGCACAGTGCTTGTGTGCCTGCTTGCAGCCAGATTCTGTCCTCCCAGCATGCAGGGTCCATCTCACCTGTTCTCATACCTCTTTTGTGAGCCCGCCTGCAAGAGAGCTAATCTCCAGGCTCCCTTTCTCATCAAAGAGAGGATCAGGCACTTCTAAATCCCCACTGATCTGATCTATTTTAGATTTCTGCTGTACAGGGAGAGGAGCCACAGCCTGCAATGTCCCATCTCGTGCTGGGAGCTGTGGAGGTGATGATGTACACCACGGTAGGTACCTGTGCTGTAGAGATTCTGAGAGTGCTCAGGTGAATGCCCTGATGTTGGTGTATATCTGGAATGGGATCTGCAGTGTGTGGGGGCCATCACTGCTGGGCTCAGAGCTCACTGCACAGGGGGCTGTCTGGCTCTGGCGTGCTCCTGACTGATGTCATTTTTCTCATGCAACTGTCTTGGAGCCATGATTGTTTTTTCCTCTGAAGCTTTATGACAACAATCCCAGCCAAACAGGAATCAAAACAGCGTGTAAACCACTGAGTACATAATAAAACAGCCTCTTTCAGTTTAGGGTTTGGCTATAAGCTTGGCTTTTCAGAACTCTTCCATGCTTTGATGTTCTGGTTTACTGGACATCAGGTTGGTAAAACATGTCTTGTCAAGTCCTTACAAGAGAAGGGGGAGAGGAGATGTGATAAGATCTTTAATTACACAGACAGGAAGAGACTAATCTGATTTCTGCATCCACTGGGAACAGGATCAGAAAACAAGGACTTACACTGCAGCCATAAAAAGGGGGGCAATAGGAAACTGTCTTGACATAAGGGTAGTGAATCGCAGAGAGTGATTGTGTAGGAGAATTATGGGACATCCTTTGGAGCTTTTGAAGAGCAGGCTAAATGAACATCAGTCTGGCAGTGTGAATGAGAATTATAGACAGATGCAACACCATTTTTTGAATCGACAGCACCCCAGGGAAGGATGAGATCTTTTGGCACATGGTTCTCCTTAAAGAAGCGGAGATGCTTCTTTAGGGGAAGAGGAGTGCACATCATTGCAACGTGGGATGCTGTCCATTGATCCCAAAAGTTTGCCAGGCTTTCTTTGTCACTGACTTCTTCTAAAGCAGCTTTATAATACAATTTCTGGATGTTGGTTTGCGTGCCTTAAAGTACTCTGCAATCGGCAGAGATGATCATGGGACTACATCCTCTGGTACCTGCCAAACTCAAACAGCTCGTCTTTTTCAGACTTCCTTATACAGACCATCTTGTTCCTTCATGGGAAGAAGTAATTGCTTGTGACACATTTGCTTCTTGAAGCTGTCATAGGTGCTTTTTAGTGTACACATAACATGAAAGCATCCTCTTTGTTGAGGAAAAGGGGGGGGACAAAGGCTTCTGAGCTGGCAGTTTATTTTTGGCATAACTGAGAAGAAATTCAAGAGCTTGAGCTGGGCCTCCAGGGATGGGAAGCACTGGGAAAGAGGAGATGGCATTACTGCCCTGTGCTGTGATGGCCTGCACTATGAAGCTCAGGATCTCCTGGTGCTGAGATGAGAGGCAGATGTTCTCAGTACTCCTCCACCACAGCTCAGCCCTTTGCTAACCAGGTCACCCCTGAGCACTGCCTCATAAAAAGTCCTCAAAAATCACCGTGCCAAAATAAACCCTAGAGCCACCGCAGTTCCCCCAGCTGCTCACCCAGGTTTGCTGCATTGGAGCTTTGCTGCAGAGAAGTGACCACCTTGCTGCAAAGAGGCCAAGGGATGCAGAGCTCCTTTTGGCACTTGGCTCCGTAATAAATGGCCCTTCTATAAACACAACAGCACGTTGTTTCAAAGCAAAGCACGCCTGGCTCCGACTTCTGGCCCCTGCTTTTTGTTACACCTTCTCTGCCAACTTAAATAATCAACAGCCTTGCTTTGTTAGGTGTTTTCTTCCAGCAAAGGTGCTCAGCATCCCACTGAATGACTGCAGACAGCTGTGTGCGCAGCAGGGAGCAATGCAAGCTGTGCTGTGGGGCTGGGCAGCAGGATATGGGCACAGCACGGTGCCACAGCTCCCTGGGGACCCCGCTGCCAATCACACCACAGTACAACAGCAGCCTGTCCCAGCACAGCCCCACTCCCCCCGTGGCACAGAGGCTATATAAACAGTTAATGAGGATATGCAGCACGCAGCCAGCACAGCTGTAATTGCAATCAACATCAAAGCCATTCAGGCGACTTCTTGCTGCTGAGCAGAGCTGTTTGTTGAGTGTTTGGGTGCCAGTGATTTACAGAGGGATTGTGTGTTTCTAGGTGGGGACGGCGAGCTTGCTGAGGGATTTACAAAGGGAAATCATGCTTTCTGCTCTTTCTGGAAAGGGAAACTCCTGATTAGTGACCAGAGCAATAGGGCTCTGGGGATGCATGTTGAGGCTGCAGATGCATTTTTGTCTCTCTGACTAAGAGCTAGTTTTTCTTAGTTAATTTTTTTTCCAGAATACAAGAAAGGAAATTTGGGTTTCTTTTATTTGATGTAGTCCTTCTGAAATGCTGGAAGTGAGAGTTAGGCTGCGAGCAGAGCAGCCTTTCCATGGCAGCTGAGAGGTTCCCAGAGCCATACAGATGGATTCACATAGGAAGATCTCTGGCATCAGTACAAAGACACTGGTCCCATCCACTCAGAACTGATGGGGGGAGCGATCCTCTGCCCTGGTGGTTTGTGCTGGGCTCATGGCACTCTTTTCCCATTGCAATTGGGGGGAGATCTGATAATGCTCTGCCTGTGCTCACTGCCTATCAGTTTCCCTAAAGCCTACATGGTGAAGCACAGGCTTGCTGCACCTCTGCTTGCAGCTTACATAAACAAAGGCTTTCAGGAAAGAGACCCAGCCACCTAAAATTAGACAACAAGACAAAAATATGCTGACCCCTAACGCAAGTGCAGCTGTTTCCTGGGTGAAACACAGCAGCTGTTCAAGCAGCAGAGAGCAACAACACCAAACTGTCATCATTTTTACATGAAAGAAAATGCTGCATTAGGAAACCTGGAAAATGAAGAGCTCTGCAAAAGTCTCAGTCCCATTTTAATAGAAATGGGAATAAATAAGAAAAGGTGCCTCTGCCTGGCAGGTCTCACAGGTTGAGGCAGAAAAGGTGGGAAAGAGAGGAAAAGTGTCATTATGCAGACTTGATAACTGACAGTCTAAATTAGGTCCCAGACCCACAGAGGTATTAAAACACCTAATTCTCAGCTGACATTCGAGGGGCTTGGCAACTCACTGCTATGTGGTTCTGAATGGTAATGGCTTGGTCAAAGTATTACGGAAAGTTTAGAGAGGCAGGAATTAAATCTGGATCTCGTTAGGGATTCAGAACCATCCCAGCCTTCCTCTGCCCCCTTCCCCCTCCAGGGCTGCACCCTGCTCTGAGCATCCTCTGCAAGCATCCTCCTCTGTGATCCTCTCCAGCGAGCTGCTGTGAGCAGGTCAGGCTTCTTGCAGTAGGCAATTAAAAACCACTTGAATTTAGAAAACAAGCCAGAAGAGAAACAATGTAGGGAAACCACATGCACAGAATGGGCCCTGTAACATCACTGTGTGTGTCAGCGTGCTTTTTCTTCCTGCCCTGTGCCCTCTGCACCCCTCTGGGCATTTCTCTGTAGGGACTGGGAAGTAAAGCTGCTCCCAGCAGACTACTGTGCTGCAGCCCTCCCAGCTGCTTTCTGCTTTCTCTACAACCTCTTTGTTTCAGAACGCTGCTTTTGTATAGATGGGGAAAGCAGGGTGCAGAAAAGCATTGCGAGTTGCAGGCTGGTTTAGCACTGCTGCTTTCACACCTTAATTAGGCTCTCAGCCAAGGACCTGCTGATGTACAGGTCGCCTTGCAGGTGGTCCTCATTATTTTGTAGGATTTAGTTCCTAACCAAATGTCGTGTGTTCCAGCTGGTGCAGGAGATCAGCTGCTGAATTTGTTCCTTGTGCTGTACCTCTGGGCAGCTATCAGCACAGCACACAAATCACCACCCCCTGCAGCAGCACAGCCAATGTGATGGATCAGGGTTGGTACCTATCAGATATGCCTTACTACCTTCCATTCATGGAGGCTCTATGCCACAGTTAATTCCCCAGTTTTCTCTTCCCAAGGGTTCTAAGATTTCCCCCACGTTCACGCTGGCAGAGTGGGGTGTTGCTGCTAACAGCTAACTGTGTTCATGAAGCACCATGCAGGAATGGGGTCTGCTGGATGAGTTCAGATCCCACCTCGTGAGCTGGGAGGTGAGATGTCAGGGGCTGGAGCCATGGGGAGCTTTCCTAATTCTCATTCTTTTTGCTTTCTCTTCTCAGATCACTTGCCTTGAACCTCAGGGGAGTGGCATTCAGGTGCATTCATTTTCTCTGCATCAGTGCTGAGGATGTACCTCCCTGCTGCTTCCTGAAACACCACGTCTTGCAGAAGAGGCAAGTAAAGCTTCTTGACCTGACAAACTTCATCTGGCTTCAAATTTTGGGTGAGTGACCCTCATATCACCTATGTTTTATTCCTAGATTCCAAAGCACTCCTTGGAGGAGGTCTTTTTATTATCTTTATCTCATATCTGGGGAAAACAAGGCACAGGAGTGTTATACCACTGTGCTAAGTGGCAACACAACACACAGTGGTCCTTGGTCCCTATTCACTGCATTGTCACCATAGCATGCTGCTCCCTGACTTCTGATTGCTCTGATTCCAAAGTTTTTGCAACTCCAGAATCACTTCTGGGCAACGTGAGTGCAGTGATCTGTGTGCCTGGAGCTGCTTGCCCAGACCTGTGCTGCCCGTAGAAATGTGTGTAATTTGCAGTAAAACCTGACGCTGGGAAAGCTGGGGGACACCCAGTTTGCATCCCCTCCCTCACTGAGAACTGCTGGTTGCTGTCCCAGCAATAGAGGACTTCCCCTGGAGAGCAGGTGGACACACTCCACATTTCTGTGTCACAGGATTAAAATATCACAGGGGTTGGAAGGGACCTCTGGACATCACTGAGTCCAACCCCTTACTAAAGCAGGTTCCTTACAGCTGCTTGCACAGGAAGGTGTCCTGATGGGTCTTGAATATCTCCAGGAAAGAGGACTCTACCAGCTCTCTGGGCAGCCTGTTCCAGTGCTTTGCCCCCCAAAGGCCACTGCAGTCAGAGATGGTAGAGGGGGCTTTGCTCCTCTCTCTTCCTGAAACAATTCAGCTGAGATGTATAAACAGCCCCCAGACCGTAAGTCTACAAAAAAGACTAATGGGAAATTGCTCCTCGTTGTGGTTGGATCATGCTGAATGGGCCCATCTGGGAAGTGGAATAAGGAGACCTCCCAGCCAGGACTTGGCAGTGCCAGTGCTGTGCCAGGCACAGATCTTCCTTCTCCAGCCTGGGCTGGAGCCCACGTGTGTGTTTTCCCAGCAGGAACATTCTTGCCTTTGGGTTACCAGCAGTGTCTCCTGCAAGGACACCTGTTGCTGACTCACCTATTGTAAGGAAACATAATTGCTGGAAACGATCCCCAGTTACTTCTATGGTTTTTTGCAGTGTCATCGGCAGAGTTTCACCTTACTAGAAGGGAGCAGTTTGTTTTCTGAACAAACACTTCAAACCACTCCTGGTTTCTCTTCCTGGTACACCAGACAGGGCTGTGCTGACCTGCCAAGAGGAGTCAGGAAGGGATCCTGAGGACACCATTGGGTGTCACCTGTTGTGGGTAGAGACCAGCAGGAAAGTATCCCTCTGCAAAGACACAGGGGGCTTCTGCCACTGCTGAAAGAAGCAGGATCTGAACAAGATGCATTCCCTAGCATGGCAGCAAGCATTAAAGACATCTTGGCAAGTGCATTTTAAGAACATCGTAATTTGGTGTGACTGGGGCTGTGTAAGCCTCTTTTGTTACGTGATCTCACAACCATTGCAGAACATAAAACTCAAGTTCTCATTGCCTGAGGAACAAGACAGCACAAGCAGTAAGACACAATTCTAGAGTGCACTCGATACTTGTTAGGATGGAAGTCCTGTCTGGGAGGTCTCCTGCTAGCTGGATGTCTGTCCTTTAGCTGCATCCCGTGGTTTGGATCATATCTATGGCGTCTTCACTGTGACATTATCCATTCACTACTGACTGCATTGCAGATAAGGGGAGCAGCAGGCAGGGGGGAAATTCTGCTGGGTTCTCCTCAGCTGGCAGAAGGAGTTTTTCAGTAGCAAGCTTTTGTCTGGGAAGTGCCTGCTGGTCGTAATGGAAACTGCTCATAGGAAGAGGTGTGTTTGGATACATTTTCATTAAGCATTTCTGAGGGATGAAAAATAGCTTGGAAGAGTTCCAGAACTTCCCACTTGAGAAATTCCACAGTAACAGCAGTTGAACCTTCTTTTAGAAATAACTGTAACAAAGCTTTGATGAATTAAAAACTTGCAGAAGGCACCAAGGCCTGCGTGGAGGCAGTTACAAATTTACGGCTATTCTGACCAACTTTAGACCTCCAAAATGTTATTTCCACCTCCTCAGGTGCATGGAGACCTCTGAGCTGCCCTGTCTCATTTAAGAGCCCTTCATTCCCTTCAACAGCCCACGTTTTGGGAGCAGCGTTGCTGACCAGCCTGCGCCCCTTGCTCTGAGCCTGCTGCTTTGCCTTTTGCAGCAGCTGTCCCTCAAGTGCCAGGCCACGTTGATGACTTTTCCATAGAACCAAAGGTGAAGTGAAAATGATGGCAGTTCTGAGCTGCTGAATCGGTGGCAGTGCAAAGATCAGAGGCAAAGCACGAGATGATGTTGAAATCTGGTTCTACCTGAAGCCAGAGAGGTGTAACTGCAGCACAGCAGTGCTGTCATTGTTTGCGGGTGCTGGCAGTGAGAGCAGCCCCTGCCCCACCATTTGAAGCAGAATGCAGAGGACAGACTTCCCAAGCGATGTGCCTGGGACCAGGGGACAGAGGTGACCCTTCCACCCAATGCTACAGTGCTGGGGTCAACCTGAGAAGTGAATCCTTTGGGTAGTGCGATCAGATGAAGGTTTGGTGCAAGGCAGGGGTTGGGTCCTGGGATAATGCAGCTGGTCAGAGCCAGTGCTGGCAACCTGCAGGACATTTCTGTCCTGTGCATGCCATGCCAAATATTTTTAAGGAGAAAAAAAGCATCCTGGCCAGGTATTAAGAAGTGTAGCAGCAGAGCCAAAGGGCTTCAGAGTTCCTTGTCTGGCACACTTCACCCCTCTGCTGAAACCAGCAGTGTTGCCCCCTAATAAAGAGAGAAATTTCCTAATCAATGTGCTCTTCTTTCTGAGAATTGCACAGCAAGCAGCTGAGTTGTTTTTACAGTCTCTGTCCTTTAAAAATCCTGTTACTACCAGTGCAGGGGCTGCAACCCATGGACACCTTCCTTGGCTTACTGATACAAGCTTTGGATCCAAGACACATGATATTAGTTTAGGTGGCTGACTAATAGAAGCAGCAGTGATACTGCAGCATCCATTCCTCTGAATGCCTTTAAGCTGAAAGCTGCTACAGCTGTCACTGGCTGCAGGACAGTGACCTGTCAGACTTCAGCAGGAACCTGGATCCTTGGGTACACTTGCTGCATCCCATGCTGTGAGCAGAGGGTGACAGGGAAGTCAGAAGCAGAGTTATGGCAATAATGTACTGCATGAGTCTTAGTGCCACGTGCTCTTCGTGTTTACATCAGCAAGAGGTGAGGAAAAAGTCCCATATGTTTAAAAGTTCCACCTTCATCCTCAATTGACAAAAGTCACTTGCTATAAAACACCTCTGTACCAGTAACAGAAACAATCCTATCCTTAACCAGGAAACTGGTTCTGTTATTTCAGCCTGGTCAAATGAACCCTGCAAAACCTGCTGGGGCCGGATTGATCCCAGCACCCTGAACGTAAAGGCTGAGCTCTCTGGTGGCAGCTGCTCCACCTCTGGCTGCTTCCCTTCCGTGCCCACCGCTGGGCTCCTCAGAGCTGCCCCCTGCCCTCGCCCCGTTGCTCCTTACCTCTGAGCAGCACGCAGCCAAACAGCCACAGGAGCGGATGGAGGGCTGGAGCCAGCATCGCGGCGTGGAGCTGAGCAGCCCTGCAGAGGTTCTGTCCATCCCGAGTGTGAGAGGGTGAGGAGAGGTCTGCCTGCCTGGGCTGATTCTTGCAGAGCTTCCTGTTAAAGAATAGAAGGAAACGGGCTGAATCCACAGGGGAACTGTGTTTTTTAGTCCATTATGGTCAAAGAGGATATGAGACATCCCTTACCGACGGCAAAGGAAACCTCGCCATTGATTTGTTGGGGAATTTGGTTCTCATAGAGGGGGAGAACAGAGGCACAATGGGCCTGCCTGGCTTTGGGCCTTGGTAGCTTCTGTATGGTACTGCTTTTTGGAGATGTGTTTGGAGCAAAGATGTGTGCCACAGGCCTGGTTCTGCTCTTCATCAGTCACTAGAGCTGTGCTGAGCCGTGGGAGCTGCTCCTGCCCTCCCACCTGAGAGGGGACTTCTTAAAATCCCTGAGAGGGATTTGGAAGTCTCTGGAGTGGGGCAGAGAATCTCACAGCTGGAGCTGCCTTGTGCCGTACCCATGTCCTGCTCCTCCCTGTGCAGCTCCAGCAGGGCTGGGCTCTGGGACATGCTGGCTGTGGGATGTGGTCGTTTGGGCAGCAGCAGCAGCCTCCCAGCAGCATGGACAGCACAAAGCAAGATTCAGCCTTCCCTAACCTGGTTCCTTAATGGGAGGAGGGTCCCAGCTGGGCTGATGGATCAGGCTGACAGCAATCCATCCCATTCCCAGACGGCTGCTGGCAGGGGCTGCTTCTCCCAGCCTAGGACCCTTGCAAGGCCATGCTCTGGCAAGGTGCAGAGCCTTTTGCTGCCTTACAAAATGCCCTACTTAAGGGAAATGGGGCTGTCCCTTTGGCAGCCCAGGAGAGGCTGGACACTGGGGACAGGTGTTGAGGAGTGCAAACTTTGCATCTCCTGGCCCTGGGCCATTTGTCACAGCCCTTCCCTGTCTCCAGGGGCCACATCCAGCCCCTCCTGCAGCTCTGGAATGCTGCAGAGCCCCAGCTGTGGGCATCAGGGCTGCTCCTTCACTGTGTGTCACTGCACAGAGGGCAGTGGGAGGTCCTGGTGCTGCTCACAGGGCCCTGCTTTCTGCAGCCATGAGGTGGGTGCAGGTACCCCACAAACCACATGGGGCTCAGCGCACGCCAGTAAGCCATCAGGCCCAAAGCTTTGCTTTTACAAAACCTCTGTGAGCAGCCTCCCCCCACAACCTTTATTTTTTTTTCCTCTTGCACAGATGTGATGCTCAGAGATTACGCTGTAGATTAAGGTTTTACTGAATCCTGAGATGAGTGTAAATTCCCAGAAGCAGCTCTGATGTGCAGCCAGATCACTACTGGAAGCTCGCTGGGCTGGGTGGGGGACGGGGCATCACCCACCCTGCAGTGCACAGGAAGGATGGAGCACAAATATTCCAGGATGGTGTGCTGAGAGGCAGGAGCAGGTAGGACAGTTCTGTTCTGGGATGGGAGCATTGGGAGGTGTTTCGTAATGGCTTTGCAAAAACAAATCAGAGAATCATTACAGTTGGAAAAGACCTCCGGGATGCCAAATCCAGTTGGTAGCCCACCACCACCATGCCCTCTAAACCATGACCCTGAGTGCCAAAGCTCTGTAAGATCCATCTTTTCTGCGTGGTGATGTGCTGAGGTCACTGCTGGTGTGAGGTCTGACCACCCTGGGATCAGCACCTGCCTGCATGGAGGTGATTGGTGCTGGGCAGTGCCCATGGCCACAGTGCAAGGGAGGGACATGCAGGCACTGCCTTGGCCCTGCATTGCCCTGAGCAGCCCTGGGTCTGCAGAGCTGTTTGTGACCCTGCATCCCAGGAATGCTCACAGACAGTGTGTGGTATTTCTAAGGTGCTGGACCTTAAGATCTCTCCAAGCCCGGGTCACAGCTAGCAGCAGCTGTGCTGTGAAGTGCTCTTGGCCGAGCAGCAGCTTTCTGTGCACAGCAGCGAGGGCTCCTCGGCTGCCCTAAGGCGAGAGGGAAGCTGGCCGTGTGCGCTCCATCCATCCGCGGTGCACGGCGCTCTGCTGCTGCATCGCTCCTGCTGCAGGAGCGCTCAGCCTCGGGGCTGCCTGGTCTGAAGGCGGAGCAGCGGAGATACCTTTTGCAAATTTCTCCTTCTGAATTGTGTAAAGAGCTCACGCACAGGAGGGCGATTTTTACGCTAATTTCTAAGCGCAATAACATTTCAATCCAAGTCAGGGAAAGGAGGGGGGCTTCCTGCGGTTGCAGAGCCGGGGCTGTGCGCACCGAGGGCCGGGAGGTGCTCTCTCCCCGAACAAAAGCCGCTTGTGTGGCAGGCGGCAGCGCGGCGGGGCCGGCGGAGGTTGTTGCGGTGTCCCCTCACATGGCAGCCGGGCGTGCTGATGTGGCACTGCGTTAGGTAGGGCAGCACCTCTCGCTGTGGGATGAGCAGGCGCTTCCTCCTGCGCGGGGAGCCCCGGGCGTGACGTGGCAGTTTGAGGTGAGCCCGGCCGCCCCGCAGCACCTTCCTGCAGCTGCTCTGCTGCCCTGTCCCGCTGGAGGTGATGCTTCCCCCGGAGCAGGACGCCCAGGTACCCTGGGGCGGGCTTTCTCTCCTTGCTTTCCCCTTTCCCTCCTGCTGCTCCCCGCTCCCGGCTTTCTGCCCTGCCTGACCCGCAGGTACTTTGGTAGGGTTGGGCCTCTCACGGGGTTCGGTCTGGTGTTGGCTCTGGGAATGGGGGGATGGGGGAAGAGGGAGCGGTGAAGTCTCCTCTTCTAGGAGTCTCAATCAGTGGAGGCAGTGGGGAGAGGAAACCCCCACTGAAGGTGCCTGGGATAAGGAGATTCAGGGCAGTGTCTTCCCACTGTTCTCTGCTGACCACCTGGCTGAATGGTCACCGTCCCTGCATCACAAATGTGAGCACCAAAATTTATTCTGTCCTGTGAGACTGGGGGAGGGAACACCCAGGGACAGCCCTGTTCCTCAGCAGCCCACTGGGGCTATGTTTCTGACAGCAAAAAGCACTTGCCTGGTCACACTGGGCAGCCAAGTGAAGGTTTTGCTCATGTGAGGTCTGGTTAAAGCTGCTGGGTGCCACTGCTCACTGTGCAGGGGTGTGTGACAGGCTGCTGCCTTTCTGCAGGACACGTGGTTGGGATGAGCACTTATCCTGACCATATCAGTCTGGAGTTGCATGTTGCTCTGCGAGGCTCGCTCAATGCCCAGAATCCTTATCTCAGGCTGAATCTTTTCCCTGTACCCTGAAGCAAAAGGCATCCAGTGCCTTCTTCCAAGATTCCATGCCTGGGGAGCTGCATGTGAAGCTACAGGCAGAAGGTTAAGGCAGGAGACGAGGACATCAGACAGCCCCTGTCTGACAGTAACACCTTTCCACCCTCTGTCCCAGGTCACCTTGCTCAGCCATGAATGCCTCAGCACCCAGCAGCCCGCTGAGGCACCCTGAGCCCCAGGATGCAGCTGCCTTCACTCCCATTTCTGTGGTCAGGAGCATGACAAAGAAGTCTGATGCCCTGCCCGTCATCTCAGCCATCGTCGTCATCTTTGTTCTCCTGGCCATCTTCATCATTGTCGTGGTGCACTACGGCCCGCAGCTCCGCACCATCCAGATTACCCTTTACCATGAGCCCATGCCGCAGGACCTGGACGACGGGGTGCACCTCATGGACTGGAGGAAGTTGGGCTCCCAGAAGAAGCCCTCTCAGCCTGGGCAGTGGGAGCCGGGTGGCAACCTGAGCTGCCAGTGCTCCTGCAAGCACCACCTCCCCTGTGGGAGCATTGAACCCAACGTCATCGAGATCACGTATCTGTAACAAGGTTTGGGCAGGACCCAAGGGAAAAACAGTGACTGGGCTGTTGGCTCAGCCCAAGACTGGCTGGTTCCTGCACACTGGGGTTGTACCTGTCTCCAGATAGCCTCACCTAGGAAGCTGTGTCACTGCAGTGACCCATCATCAGCCCTGACATCCAGACCGCTATCTCCAGGCAGCGCGTGGTGCCAGCCAGGCAATGACATTGGTGTTTGATTGCCCCGAGCCAGAGCTGGGAGTGGGTCAGCCTGCGTGGGACAGCATCAGCATCCCTTCTGGTTTTTCTCGCCCTGCTTTCACCCACGCTGCCTGGGAGCACCCAGGAGAGCTGCCTCAGTCTTCTCTCCATCTGGGGAGTGTCGAGTGAACGCTCAGTCCCTTGGCACAAGCTGGAAGTTGCATCATTTGGAATTGCTTTAAGGATTAGGGATGTTTTCACATACAGTGTCCTCGTTATTTTGTTTGCGTGGCACAGAAAAGCCACATGTCCCATTTTTGCTCCATGCCACAGCCTGCTTCCCCCTGCTGCAGAACTGAATGCCGTCCTCCCTCTTGCTGGCTCTGGTGCAGTCCCAGCTGCCCTGACAGCTGCCTTCAGTGCAATGTGTGCAGTGATGGGGATGGGACAACAAACTGGGGCTTCTTCCCATTCCTCCAGGTGCTGGATGTTTCTGATCTGGCTGATGCTCTGGCTCCCTTCAGCTCACACATTTCCAGCTTGTTTTACTTTAAAGCGAAGTAGTGGTTGGACTTGTTGGAAAATGCTGGTGTTCATAATAAATGTAATTTATATTTTTGTTGTTGTTTTCTCTTCTGATTTTCTTCTGTTTGTTTTCCAGAGGTGACAGTGTGTTTCCAGCTCCCCTATGCAGATAAAGTGTGATGTTTGGGTTGGAACCCTCTGAGAGTCCCTTCTATAGAATCACAAAACCATTAGGGTTGGAAAGAATCATTTAGTCCAAGCATAAACCCAAAGAATGGCAGCACAGAGTTGTTTGTAACTCAACACACTGGAATTAACGAGCCCTGAGGAGCTCACAGCCTTCCAATGGCAGCTCTTTATGTGATGCCTGTAGGTTGTGGTGGTCCCAGTGGTCACCCGCACCATAGGTGAGAAGCCAGCAGATGATCTTTGGAAAACCTTTCTGGTTTGTGCCAGGTGTGGAGTGGGATCACCCACGCAGGGCCATCGCAGTGTGCTGGCTCTGTGCGTTCAAAGCTGGGATTGGTTTTGACAAATGCTTTAGTGGAGAAACAACGGGAGCTTTGGTCGCAGCTCCCCCTAAAGGACAACTGCGGCACCGAGATGTCGTGTTTGCAAAGATAAGATGAAAAACCACTTGCATATTAAGGAGAAAGATAAAATGGGTAATTATTACTAAGCTCATCAATCTGCAGCCACTCAGGGCTGAGTGATGTTGCGATGTGCTTTGGCCCACATCTATCATTTGTGTGGGAGGAGCTGGGAAACCCCACCTCTTCCAAACTCACTGCCGTTGCTCAGGTGTGTCAAGCTGTCCAAATAAAGGCAACAAAACCGGCTTCATGGGGCTCACTCTCATCTATTTGCTCTGTGCTCAGGTCCCCTGCCCAGCCCAGCAGCCTGAAAGGAGGTTGTGGGGAGGGAGGAGCTCCTGCTCCCAAGGCAGGGGAACTCATGTGGGCCAGCACAGCGCTGTCAGCTGTAGGGTTTGGTTGGGTGGTGGTGTGTGGAGCTGGGGGTTGGACTCTGATCCTTGTGGGTCCCTTCCAGCTTGGGGCATTCTATGAGCTCTTCCGAAAGGATGGAAACAGGGACAATGATGTCCCAGATCATGATTGGTGGAGTGATGGAGATGGCTGGTGGGGACCAGCCACCCTTCTGCTCACTCCACCTCCACCCACAGTTGCCTGCCTGGGCAGCACCCAGCAAGGGGCTGAGTGCCTGCATCCCTTCCTAAGGCTCATCCCTCTGGAGCAGGGAGGGGAACAAACAGCTCCTGCATTCCTGCATGGATGTGAGATGAGGCTTTGATCATCTCAGTGAGGACAAATCTGGGGACCCCCTTCATGCATGTCCGTTTTCTACTCCTCTCATTTGACTGATGTTATTCTTGAACTCTTCACTTCTGATTTTAATTTTCATAGGCTTGAAACAATTCTTTTCCCTTCACGTTTTCACTCCCATAAGGTAATTATGAGAGCAATGCTCTCTGGTGTGACACACTCCCCTTCCACTGCACCGGAGCACTGAGGACCCTCCTGCAGCTTGTATCCAAACATGACTGCCTACAGCTCAGTCCCAGGGAAAATCCATCTTTTGAGCTCTCTCTGGAGCTGCTGGGAGATTTCAGCCCCAAATAACACATGAAATTGGAAAGCCTCAGCAGAGATTGATCCAATGTGTCCAGGCTGGGTCTGCCTGGTGATGTGCAGCTCTGGGCTGGTAGGGTGTCCCCATGGTGGAGCTTCAAGCAGCCAGGCTCTCACACCAGTGAATGCCTTCTGCATCCACTTCAGGCATGAGCAGCATCGTGTGGTGGCTGAAGATCAATGCAACAGCTGAACAGTGCAGGTGCTTATCCTGAGCTGTCTGTGGAGGGTGTGAGATGCAGCCTCCCAGGGGAAAGTCTGGAGCTGCAAGTTGGCTGCAAAGATCCTGGAGCACCTGCAAGCTGGAAGCCTGCCTGTGGGTGAACAGGAAGCAAGAGCGGGAGGGGACCTCATTCATTTTGAGCACTGAATCTTATATTACTGGCGGTGCTCCTGGCACATCCCAGCTCATCGCCCACTCACCTTCTCTGCATTTGTTTGCGTCACTTTTCTTGCCACACCACAACACACAGCAGCTCCTGAGGCCATGCTGACCCCAGCAGGAAGCAGCTCTGTCTCTCCCCACCACCCAAAGCCACCCGGGGCTGCGGGACATCCTCTCCTCCCACTGCGGGCATCCTGAGAGCATCCCTGCTGACAGCCTGTGGCTTTGCCTCCCTTAGCCATAGAGGAAGCCACTGCACAAAGAAGGGAAATGACTCGGCCAAGGTCACCTGGATATGGGCTGAGCCCAGCATCATGAGTCCTGGTGCCATGGCTGAGCTGCACCGGTCTGTACACTGCAGGGAGTTTCATGCATTGCCAAAAGTCTTCCTTGATTGCCCAGGGGAAAATCGAACACTGATTCATTCAGAAGCCACATGGTGAAAAATGTGGACAGATCGCCCTCAAAATCAACAGAAAAAAGCAGAGGAGTGAGGGTTACAGCTGGGTTTAGAACAGATTAGGACAAGTCAAAAAGACAACAGGGTGGGGAAGGAGCCCTTAGGGTGATGCAGGAACAGATACCCATTGTCACCTCTGGATTTTGCAGAGAGCTTCCCCAAGCATGTATTCCCCCACAGACAAAGAGCAGGATCCCAATTTGGGATGACAAGCATGTGTGTGGGTTTGTTGTTAGATCCAGGACCAGGTGCAGGAACCACATGCTCTATCATTTTGCAGGTGAACAGAGTGACAGTCCCTGCAGGCTGGAGATGAGGAGCACTTCCATACCTCATAGACCCCATGGCCTGCTGACCCATGAGCCCCCACCCCGCCGGCATTGTGCCGAGCCGGGCCTCCCTTTTCCTGTAGGTGGAGTTTCCATAGGAAGCTCAGTCGATCCACCTCCCACCGCCGGACACCACTCCTGGCTGCAGTGGTGGCCGACCCCACTGCTCCTTGTTGGGATGCTCCAGCCCAGGATGCTCGGCTGCCCATTCTGGGGTGATGGCAATGCAGGGGACAGCCTCCAGAACCCCTCGCTCTTTCTTCTCCTTCCCAACTGGTGAGTGGCAATGGGCAACAAGTGAAGACCCAGTGTCTTGGTGTTCACCCTGAGGTCTGTGCAGGATGCAGAGGCAGGCGGGTGAGCCCACAGCCACAGCCCACAGCTGGGCAATGGGCATCCTTGGTGGGCTGCTGCTGCTGGGTCACTTGGCTCTTCAGCTCCGGGCCCTCTGGTGGCTCTTCTTCCTCTCCGCTGATGCACAGGAGGTGGCCACCATCACAGTGCAGTACCGCCTGTTTGAGGAGGTGCCGGAGGGCACCGTGATAGGGACGTTGGCTGAGCATTTTGAGCACGGTGAAAGCGGTGAAATGGGGGAAAACTTTCGTCTGCTGCAGAGCCCTGGGATATTTCCTCTGCGCGTGGGGAGTGGGGATGGTGAGCTGAGCACAGCCGGGCGCGTGGACAGAGAGCAGCTGTGCCGGCACAGCGATCCTTGCTGGGTGTCCTTCGATGTGCTGGCAGCTGAGCAGATGGTTCTGATGCACGTGGAGGTCCAAGTTCTGGACATCAATGACCATGCACCCCGCTTCCCCATGCCCGAGCTGGAGCTGGAGATGTCAGAGAGTGCATCGCTGCAGATGCACATCCCGCTAGACAGAGCGCTGGATGCCGACACTGGCCCTAACGCGCACTGCTCCTATGCGCTGTCCCCCAGCGAGCACTTTGCACTGGAAGTTGTCTCTGGCTCTGACGGCACAAAGCATGCTGAGCTTGTCGTGGTTAAAGAAGTGGACCGGGAGCTGCACTCCTCCTTCGACCTGGTGCTGACAGCTGCCGACCATGGGGAGCCTCCTCGGTCAGGTACTGCTTTAATCAAAGTAATTGTCCTTGATTCTAATGACAACAGCCCCGTTTTTGCGGAGAGCTCACTGGTGGTTGAGGTTCGGGAGGATGCTCTGCCTGGGACACTGCTGGTGACAGTCACAGCCACCGATCCTGACCAGGGACCCAATGGGGAGATTGAGTACAGCCTCAGTAAGCATGCACCTCCAGAGGTGCTGAGCACCTTTGGCATTGATGCCCGCATGGGCAGCGTGGTCCTGAGGCGCCCACTGGACTATGAGGAGACCCATGCCTACGAACTGGATGTGCAGGCCAGGGACCTGGGTGCCAACCCCATCCCAGCGCACTGCAAGGTGGTGGTCCGGGTGCTGGATGTCAATGACAATGCTCCTGATGTCCGTGTCACCTGGGCGGCATGGGAACCCGTTCTGTCCGAGGCTGTCCCCAAAGACAGCTTCGTGGCTCTGGTGACAGCCAGTGACCCTGACTCAGGGAACAATGGGCGCGTGCACTGTTCCCTGAGCCCAGGGGATGAGCACTTCAGGCTGAAGCAGACCAACAGCCACAGCTACCTGCTGATGACCAATGCTGTGCTGGACCGGGAGCTGCGTGCTGAGTACAACCTGACGCTGGTAGCACGGGACCGGGGCGAGCACTCCCTGGCAGTGTGGAAGCACCTCACCATCTGCATCAGCGACGTCAATGACAACGCTCCCTCCTTTGAGAGGACCTCCTATGAGTGTGTCGTGGAGGAGAATGGCGATGTGCCGACCTTCCTGCTCACTGTCCATGCCACCGATCCTGACCTGGGCTTCAATGGGAAGGTCACCTACAGCATCCGGGACTCCGCAGTGTTAGGCCTGGTCTCCATCGATCCCAACAGTGGGGACATCATCGCCCTCCGAGCTTTTGACCATGAGCAGATGAGCAGCCTGGAATTCCTGGTGACTGCGGAGGATGGTGGCCATCCTGTGCTGGCCTCCAATGTGACCGTTCGGCTGGAAGTACTCGACCGGAATGACAACGTGCCTGTGGTCACTGAGCCGCCACTGGTGGGGGGCATGGCCACGCTGTCCGTGCTGGTGGGTGCAGAGACGGGCTGTGTCTGGGTGACCTCTGGCAACAGGAGTGTCATGGGGACAGCGTTGGCCAATGTATCATGCTCCGACACTCCTCTGCTCTTCACCATAGTGGCCAGGGATGGAGACTCCGGCCGCAATGGGGCTCTGCGATATGACATCGTGGGTGGGGATGGTGCGGGGCTCGTGGTGCTGGACCCTCTCTCGGGGCAGGCCTTCCTCAACGCCAGCAATGTCAGTGGGCTGGCTGGCACCCAGCGAGACCTGGCCGTCCGCATCAGTGATGGTGGGGACGAACCCCTGCACGCCCAGGCCTGTGTGCGTTTGCTCTTCCGACGCCATGGAGCCTTCTCCAAAATGTCAGCTGGGGGGCCAGGCTGGCTAAGCCCACCCGTGGTGGCTGCCATTTGCCTGGCTGCACTCCTGGGCAGCTGCCTGCTCCTTTCAGCCCTAACCCTGTCCCTGCGCAAGAAGGAGAAGAAGGATGGCATGGCCTACAATTGCCGTGAAGCGGAGGACGCCCACAGGCAGCAGCAGCTGAAGAAGCCACCCCGGCAGATCCAGAAGGCTGACATCCACCTGGTGCCCACACCGCGGGGCTGGCCTCGGGGGGCTGAGTCCCAGCAGCCCAGCGTGGAGGATTCCCCGCAGCCTCCCCCACTTCTCACCCCTACTCTCTACCGGACCCTGAGGAACCAGAGGGTTTCCAGGGACTCGGACGAGGAGCAGGGGATGTTCACCCTCCCCATCGTGCAGCGCCAGCCCTGCCCATCCCACAGGCCAAAAAACAGCCCCACGGATGTGGTGGGGAAGCTACCATCCGAGGAGCCTCCGCTGTCAGCCCCACAGCCCCGGCCGCCCCAGCACATCCTGCGCAGCCTGGTGCGGCTGTCGCTGGTGGCCCTGGCGGAGCAGAGTCCCAATGGGGAATTTGCCATGGAGTCAGCCCCTGTGCAGGTAGGCAATGTCCCATGACCTGTGGCAGGCATGGAGACCCCATCGTTTGCCTGGGAATAGGGGTGGGATTGTACAGCTCAGGGAATGGAATGGTGGAGGGCCACCTCACCAGGGGAAGGGCCTGCGTGTGTCCCCAGGACATGTGGGGCAGCTGGGGTGATGCTGGGGAGGACAACCCACCTCCCATGGAGGAGGCTTCATGCAGGGATAGTGTCGGGGCACAGGGGAAGACCAGGTGGGCTGCGAGGGGCCTTGTTTTGCCCAGTGTGGGGATGCTGAGCCATCTGCAGGAGGAGGAAACGCTATAAAAAGGTGGTGCAGCTCAGAGGGGACGTCCGGGCAGGAAGCAGCTTGTGCAGTGTTTGCAGGGCTCAACGTGCTTTTCCTGCCTTACAGCAAATCTCCCAGCTGCTGTCTCTGCTGCACCAGGGTCAGTTCCAGCCCAAAACAAACCATAGGGGAAACAAGTACACGGCCAAGAATGGCAGCAGGTAAGGTCTGCTCACACCTCCCTGCAGGTCCTCCTCCCCAGGAGATGTTCCTCTGCTCTCACCTCCACACCAATGGACTCAGATCCCTTCTAGGAATGTTCTTTGTCTCTTCCCTGGGGCACCTTTTGCAGCTCCTTCTGTACCCTGTACCCGAGGTCCCAAAGGCCATGAACTGTCTGTCTACCATTGCTGAGGAAACATCAGTGTGATGGAAAGGTGAGCAGAGAGGGTCCCAGCTCTGGAGGGAGCAGCACACAGATGAAAGGATGAGGCATCTCACTGCTCTGGGTGCATGTTGATGTTGGTTCAGGGCATCTCTTCCTGCATAAGGTCAGAAAACACTGCTAGAAGACACAGGAGAGTCTGAGATACCCCAGCAGTGCCCAGTCTTTCCCAGAAGCGCACTTTACGCTGTTCCCATTAAGTTATGTTGTTGACAACTGTAGATGGAAGCTCCTGAGGATGCCGGGTCTTCATCTCCACTTCCCTCTGTCCCCTCTGTCCCCATTTTCCATGCCATGGCCAGACACAGCTTTCTCCACCTTTTCCATCGCCAGCTCCCTCTGTGGAGCTTGGTGAAGGATGAAGACTTCCTTTGGGACAGGACTGGGCTTGTGTGCTCCTCACCTGATCCTGCACATAGGCAGTTCCTCCAAACTCAGGTTGCTCAGCACCCAGCTGGAGCTCAGTTTTCAAAGAGTCTGTGACCACCCCTGATCCCCATGCTTTTGCTCACGTTTTCAAGCATAACAGACTAAAAAAGTGGCATTTCTGAAGACACACACAGGCCCATCTGAAGAGCCATTTGCAGATGAATGGGGTGTGTGGGGTGGAGGGCAGCTGGAGAATGATGCTCACAACCCATTTTTTGGTCATTTTATGGGGGATTAGGACAACCATCTTCAAAATAAGCAAGGCAGGGGCTGATGTGTGACTTGGTATATGGACCCTTGCAGGGCAGCGGGGCTGGATGCTGACTGCCTGAGCACAAAGGACAGCGGGCACGGCGAGAGCGAGGCTGAGGACCGCGACTCGGAGAGTGGCTTTGAGCTGTCGGTGCAGCAGCTGGTGGGAGAGGAGCTGGAGACCCTGCTGGAGCCACAGGCTGGTGAGGCGGCCTTGCTGCATGCGCTGGGACTGGGGTACAGCAGTGGGATGTCCCCACACAACATGCTAATCCCAGGGGGAAGTTAATACTGGCTGGGGTGAGGGATGTATGCCCAGGGAGATGGTGGAGTCACTGTCCCTGGAGGTTTAAAAGGAAAGGGTAAATGTGGCAGTGAGTTTCGTGGTATGGTGGCAATGGGTTGGTGGTTGGACTAGATGGTCTTGTTGGTCTTCCCAACCTTAATGATTCTCTGATTCTAAGGCAGGGGACAGCTCATCATAGAGTGCTGGTGTACTCTATGCTGTTGGTGCTGCACCATTTGACACCAAAGAGACTTGCTAAGCTTCATGCTGGATTTGTCCATGCATCTGACTGTCCTTGGTGGACTTTTCTCCTCCATAGATCCATCTGCTCTGATTTGTGAGGTTGGCCTTTGCTGTAGCATAGTAGTGAAGTTCAGCTTAACAGCATGCTAATCAAAACTCTGCTACCCATGTTGGTCTGAGACCTGTTTTATGGCCTTCTGGTCCACGTGGAGTAAGAAAAGTGAAGAGCTCTGCCCCTTGTGATCTTCTAGAGCCCCTGAGCCCACCAGGTCCCTCCTTCCTACCAGGCTGAACAGGTTCGCTCTTGTCTCCTGTTACCATCCTGGCTATTTTCTTCTACATTCTTACCAGTTTTTTAATGTATTTGTTGAGATGTGCTGACCAGAATTGCCTGCAGTGTTTGGGATTCATCTGTCTTGGTGGTATAAGGAGGTTTTTTTTAGTTGCTCCTCATCCCTTTGCTGCCCAGGCTGCACACTGAGCTGTCATTGAACACGTTGGCCCCAGATTCCTCCAGGTAGGAATAGCCAACACGATGTGTGGTTTCCCATGTTGGTTATCCAGAGACAGAGAAACCCAGCAGCTCACATCACTGGGATTTAGGTCCTTCAGCAAATCTTGCTTTTTTTTAGCCCTCTGGGTGTTTTAGTGGAATCAGTGCTAACACAGCCACTGCTCTGCATTGTTTACCCCTTTGGAGAACAGTGCAGGTCTCAGACCGCTGAGACTCCTCTAATGACTCTTTCTGGGGAAGATTTGCTCCTTCCCTTTCTTCCTAGCTTTTAACGTTCCTTAGTTCCTAACACAACCTGGCTGTTAATTCAGGTTCAGGTTCTCTGCAAACTCAGGTGTCATCATCTACCTTCTTGAGAGACAGCAACACATTTGGAGAACACAATCTTGCAAATGTCGTGTCAGTTCCTGTCTGTGTAACAGGTATTCAGCTATTAGCTCAAATATAATGATTCCTATGAATCTGCCCAGACCAGATTCACCTTTATGAGTTTAAAAGCTCATGTCATCATTTCTACCTTCTGCTCCTCTGATACTGTATTTATTTGAAGCAGTAGTTAACGAACAACAGCTAATAAACTGAGCAATTTCATATCTGAGTTCCTCCAGCACTCTGGGGTGGATACCATCTGGGCCTGACATTTTCTACATGTTCCTTTTATTGATTTGTTCCAAATCTCTTCTACTGGCATTTCCATTTGAAAGAGTTAGTCTGACTCACGTCCTGCAGCAGAAATTGCTTTGTGGAGCCTCTGTGCTCCTCCACAGCAAGCGCAGTGATGAAGAATTCATTGAATTTTGCTGCTGCAGCTTCACCTTCTCCTTTCACACCGCAGTGAGATCTTGGGCTGTAACAGCTCTCCATGCCCACCGATCAGAACAAGGTTATTCAGTGTTCCTCAGGAATGTTTATGGCCTGCTGTGGTTTTTTTTTGTTTGTTTGTTTTTTTTTGTTTTGCTTGGCTTATAGCACTGATTTATATATTCTCCATGCCACTTGCAAGCAGATGATTTAAGTTGGGGGGATGACTGCAGCAAATTGTGGTAACTTAAGTAATCTGTGCTATGGCCAGGCATACCCCAAAAGGCACGCCTCCCATACTTCTTGCAGTTGGTAGGAAAGAAGCCTTTTACCAAATCACTTGAATTTCACCATAAATACCAGTGGTGCATGCTGAGTCTGTGCTGGTGCCTTCCTTCTCATGTTCTAATGCTGGTTGTGACAAAAGAGGCTGTGGTGAAAAATAGTCCTAACTGTGAGCCCAGACCTTCCCAAAAAGGCAACAGAGAGCAGACAACAGAGCTGCTGGACTCCTTCCTTCTCACACAAACACAAACAGAAGTGGACCTGCATCCTGAAAGAGGGAGGAAGGAAGCATTGCTTGCGCTCAGAAGTATCCTAACAGCTGGCTGGGGCTGTCTGGGCCTTTGTGTTATTCACGATGGGGGAAAAACTGCAGGAGTGATCTGGCCCAGCCTGCTATTGGGTTGTTTACACTGTAAAGCAGCCAGCCCCCACCTGAGCTATTCACTCTCAGAACAGCATAGCAGCACCTATCCACTACCAAGCAAAACAAAGCACTCAGTGGCTGGCAAGAGATACATCTTTATTGATAATAAAACAAAACACCGTTAAAATAAGGCAGTAAGGTTATCAGTCAAATTCAACATACCTAATTGAAGGATTTCACGGTTGCAGGGGCCAGAACAATCAGCCCACTGAGTCTCAGCTCTCCCTGCAGTGAGCAGGCTGCTCTGCTCCAGAGCTGAAGTATCACAGTACTCAATGAGCACAGTGGTTGCACACAGACTGAGGAGAACAGAGCTGTGGCTGTTTTAAAGCAAATGCATGGGGCTTCAGCATACTTGGGAGAGCTCTTAAGGAACAGTCACTGTGATGAAAAGAAAATGCTGAGGCTGCAGAAGAAAAGCTTCAGACATGACAGAATTTTGAGGCTTTCACTAAAACAAAATGTAAGTAATGCATCTGCCTTCCTCTCCTTCCCTAGTTTTGAATCCCAGCTCCCCCTCACCCTATGCACACTGAGGCACAATTCTGTCTCAGAGAAAAAAGGTAACTACTTAAGCTGGCTGAGGAAGGAGACTTGTCTTTGAGGCTGTCTCAGGTTCCAGCAGGTCATTATCTTCTAGAAACAGCACCAGTGCATGAGAATGGGGGCCCTCCTTTCTGAGCTCACTGTAAGTCAGTGAAAGAGGCATACTTCTTATAATGACACCAACTCTTGCCCTCCAATTGAGGCTGTTTTGGTGTTTCACCTTTTTGTTACGTGACACCAGTTGTTTTGCTGCTCTCTTACTAAAGGAGTTTCACAAACCTGCCTGTTCTTTCACACCTTCCAGGAGTTCTAGGCTCTGCTTAGGATATGGATCAGAGCAGGGCTGGAGAGCAGCTTCTGTGTACATCAGTCTGTTTATCAACTGCAAAGCTCTACTTTAAAATAAGAATCCGCTTCCTTTCCTGCTGCCTGGTGAGGAAGATATTCCAAGCTCGCTCTGCTATGAGGTCCTTCCTTTAAATTCCAGTATATGTTTATTCACGGACACTTTTAATCATTTCTTCTTTTGCCAACACTATTTTAAGCATAGAGATTTCCTTTGTCGGTGCTTAACTCATCAAAATAATGGCAGGTTGCAGTCAGATCCCCAGTGAGCATTTGCTTCAGCAGGCTAAGCAACCCTACCTCTGGGGTCTCCATCTTGTAAGCTCAGGCTTGCTCTTGTTTCATCTCAACAGTATTTCTCTGCACTTCTGTCATTTTAGATCCTCTTTCTCAGGGATGGATAATCAGATTTGTATGTAATACCTCTAATCAGGTTTTGCCAGACCTAATAACAATGCCACGGATATTTCTTTATGCCAACAGGGAATACCTTGACCAACACATTGTATGATTTCATTTACCCATTTCAGGGCAGAATCACATTACTGGTACATTAATGAGCCTGCAGCCAACGCCCACGCTAGGCTCCCACTGCTGCTCATCTGTTTCCAATTGATGAACAACTACTTTATAGCTCAATATTTTGTTACTAGCTCTCAACCACCCAGCTGTGCATTTCATAATCCAGAATTTCATTCTACTTCTATTATTACTGTTTTTGCAATAACCCATTTCTTTTCAGTCTCAACCAGACTACTCAGCAGCCAATCCCTACTTCCAGAGTGACCCATAAGGGAAGTCCACCACTGACCTTTTTCTGTTTGACATTTCCCCTTTGGAAGCTTTCCGTTGTTGTATCCCCTGTAGTCCTAAGCCTTCACTTTCTTTGGCTATGCTCACCATTTAGTGAAGTGCACTAGAAACCACAACAAATGGGAATGCAAAGAAATCCTAATGGCTATTCAAAACAAAACAAAACATAGGAGTTTTAAACCAAGTTTAGTTTGTTTTTTAAGCTGTCAGTTTGAATGATGCTGCTGGTAGCTTAACTTTAGATTTGCTTACAATCAGTCTTCCAAGATTCCATTTCAGGAAGTCTCCTCGTTTCTCGTCTTTTCTCCTTTGGTCTCCTCCACCTCATATCTCACCACCAGTTCTTGCTTTTGCTCCCTCCAGAGCTGGCCCTCAAGAGGCTGACGGCTGATCCAGCATGGGTGGCACGGCTCTCCCTGCCACCCACCAGCAATTACAAGGACAACGTCTTCACCCCTGGCTCCCTGCACTCACCACAGGATGAGGAAGCTATGGGGCAGGAGAAACCACGGACCTTTGAGACCTTTGGGAAAGGCAATGGGTCTGACTCGAGCGCTGCTGGGACCAGACTGGCCAGCACCTTCCTCTCAGAAATGAGCACCCTCTTTGAAATGATTCTGTCCCAGAAGGTCCAAGCACACAACGAAACAGGCTCGGGGCTTCTGCGGCAGCTGTCAGCACGTGGGAAGAGCCTTGGACTGGATGACAGTGCTCCTGTTCTGTAGGCAGCTTGGCAGCTGTGGCAAAGAGACGAGAGTCAAACAAAGCTTTCTCTATTTGGGTGCACATGTGTTTTAAGAGGTCCAGAGAGTCATTCATGTCTAGACATATATCTTCCTTTGCCTCACCCCATCAAATTTCTCCACGACTGATTTCACTGCGTTTAGCTCCCTTCCCCCTGCCTGTTCCTGTCTCTCCTCTTCTTCCACCCTCATCTTTCACCTTATGATCACACACAACTCACACAACAGCAGGAGGGCCCTCTCCTCCCAGGGCAAGCAGATTGAGTGAGGGGGCTTTGTCAGATAACACCCCAGAATGACACAGATATATCCATGTGACTACAGGCTGTGCAGCACAGAGGATAAACTAATATGGTCATGGACTTTGCAACATGCTGCAGAGTTGGGCTCCATGATCTCAGTTCTTATTTAAATAAAAGTTTTGTTTTTTTTTTTCTAATTCTATATTTCTGCAACAAGAACCAATATAGCTGAGACAATGCTGTGTTTGCAGAAAGTCTGAAAAGGCAACTCAGAAAGGTGTTTCTTCACTGATGCTTTCAGCTTTTTTCTAACACTGGGAACTTGGCATTTTGTAAAATGCCCCCAAATCACCCCCTTCTACTCTGGCATCTCTCCTGTGGTTACACTAGGTGCTCACAATTCCTTTCTCTGCACTCTTTTTTGAGGGCCACTGGATTTTGGAGCATAGTCCTTGCCCAGAAGCAGACAACAGATGGCTGGAGTCTGTCAAAGGTAACCTGGGAAAAGGGAAGCGTGAAAACAGCTCTGAAATATTCAGTCACAAGCTTCACCCATACTATAGATTTTCATTTTGTTTCATGCGTATGTGAGCTCTTAAGACTTTGGAATAATAGCATGTGTCGAAAAACTGAGATACAGATACTAGTAACAGGAAAAGAGGCACACAAAGGTGTTGTTAACCATGGGGACTTGCACTTAAACTGGCAAGACAACAGGGACACAGGCACTGGGAGAGGATCTGTAGGCTTTGGCAGTGGTACACAGTTGGCACATGGGTAGAGGAGCAGTAGAAGTTCTGGGAGAATAGAGACCACAGGTAAGCACTGCTGGATCACACACATGCAGGACTCCTTTCTCAGTACCATTGTCTTTGCTTTCCAACTAAGATACAAAGCACAGAACAAACATGTGTCACTCTAGCAAAGCGATGCTATGTAGAATCATGCTTTGGGAATAAAGGAAAGCCATCCCTCCCACTGCTAACAACACACAGCACTGTTCCTGAGTGATTACAAAAGATATGCTGAGAAGAGACTGCCAGCCTACCCCCCATCACAGCACAGGGCCAGCAGTGCTCTGCACACACTGCTTCCTTTGCCACACCACCTTTACATTAAAAACACTGCACTGAGTTCTCCACAGGTTCCATACTTCACACAACAAAGTTTTCTCCAAAAGCAATTTGCTGGCACTGAAGCTGCCGCATCAGGTGTCTTGAGGGGGTATTTTTAGCCTTCATTTTTATTGCTAAGTTGAATAACAATGGGCAGTACCACCCAACAGATATGAGCTTTTCAAAAGCATCCTACCCACACTCCCTTTCCATGAACCTGGAGGTTACTGTGCCCTGTTTTTAGCATGCACATACACAGGCCACAGCAACACAGAATCAGACACATAATTTTAAAGGAAAGTAAATGAAACCTTTTTTTTTTTTCTCCCTGTTGCTCTTTGGACCAAGTAGCAAGAACAACACATTAAGATTTCCCCAGGTGGCCTTCTTAATACCCTAGGTACCCACTGTTGTAGTTGGAATCTCCAAAGTGCTTCACAGATGACCCCATCTCTGTCAATAAATTACACTGATGAGTTTACCCTAGCATGCTCATACTGCCATACTGCTGATACAAATGTCTTGCTGTTTTGTTTCACAAACAAAACAGGCTCTTGCACCAAAACAATGACAGTGAGCCAAATTCTAACTGAGATGCAGCTGTGCAAACTATGAGGGTGGCATATCTGCGACAGCGAGGAGGATTCCTCTGCATCTTGGGGATGCACAGAGGACAAACACATGGCAGAGCCTCACATCTTCTGGTACATTACTTCGACGTGCCTGTCAAAGGACAGTCTGTACACAAAAATACATCACAGCAAGCAGGTTAAAAGGGAGACAAATTCCCCTTAGTTCAGTTTCCTGATTCTGCAAATTGCTTCCAGCTCCCCCCATCCCTCACTCCTGTCCTATCCTGATCACTGCGTAAGCACACTGTGGATTATTGCAGAATAGGAAATACACCCGAGGAATTTCCTGCTAATTGTATCCTGCTTGATAAAGGAAACAGTCCAAGAAAGTTTGGTCTGGGCAAAAAGACCAGAGTAGAAGAACAATCTGAGCTATCGGATGCACTGAGCTGTTGCTGTGCCCCTCCCTCGCTGAATGGAGACCACAGCAAGTACAGGATGGGGCCATCGCCTTTGTTTTCAGAGCCTGATCTACACAAAGCACCAGAGCAACACAGATAGCTACAGGAAGCTGGACAGTTTGTACAGATGCCCTTGAATCAGCTTAAACTTGTGTGGACAAATGCCTTTTTCCGGACCCAGCTGCCCCAGTGGAAGAAATTATCATACCAGCTGCTAGTCTGCCTGCCTGACGTTGGCTACTGCCTGCTGGGAATGTCCCTTAGCCACTTTGGTGGAAATGAGATGATGTGCTTAGCACACACGTACAATATAAATTTTGAAGCAAACCTTGCTTACTGTGACTTAAAGGGGTGCCCCCATGAGAGTAACTCACTGCCAGAGCTGAAGGAATAATAACTGGGGACTGAAGGGCACCAACAAAGGCACAGGATGGCTGAAGACAGCATTACTTCCACCAGCACAGGTGGATTCATCAGTTGAATCCCACAGAAACCTGGGCCCTAATAACCTGAAAATACTCTCTTGCTTGCATTGCTTTGGACAAGGACTGAAAACAGACTGAACTGCTGCAGTGTCCACACAGAGAGAAGCCCAGATTGTGCTGGAAATCTTCCTTGAGGTAAGATCAAATTGCCACAGGGATTGCAGGCCAGACTCACCCAGTTAGCAGTCAGCATCACCATATGGTGCCTTGCAAGCATTGCTCTGAAACCACATGAAAGATGTACAAAGCTACTGAAATTATAGCCCCAAACTGTACCCACCATGGCATGCTGGGACATCAGCTTCACATGTAAGTGAAGGAGCATAAGAAAGGGCCTTGTGTTGGCCGGGAGAGGGCTAAGCTACATAGGAGCATAGGAGATATCACAAGCTTTAATTTGAAAACCCCTGTATTATAAAATAGCTTTCTGTTAATGGATCAGGAACCTTCTCTTACCATTCACTACTACCCTGCTTCTAGTCCCATACAACAAGAAGGCCCGCCTTCCCTTCTGCCTGTTCCACTTACCAGCTGCTCTAGTAACCACAGTGGTGGGGCTCCAAACCCTGCAGCTCCAGTGGACTTGCCCTGTTTCCTAGGGCATGGCTCCATTCTGCGCCGCCGAGTGTCATTGTGTGGAGCCTGTCTGCACTCCAGGAGTGGGGCAGGGTGAGGGCAGGTTGTCTTGGCTGGAAGGTATGGAGACCTGCAGGCATGTGCTCGGTGGCCCAGAAACAGGGGCTGGAGGAAGAGGCTCTCATTCCGAAAGGAAATGGGTGCTTTCTTCGCACATCTGAAAGTACATTAAAACGAGATCTTCATGATGCATCAGACTATGGGAACAGCTTTTCCACTTGACTGGAAATAGCTGCTAAGATGTGAAAACAATTGAGAAAGAAAAGTGCTCCCTTGCCTTCAATAAAAAGGATTCCTTTTTGCCATGGTACTCTGCCACCCTTCCTCTGGCAATACAGGCCCATGTCACGATGCAGTCCCACAAACCCTCTTCACCCGTGGCCCATTGTACCTTCCATCTCCTCTTCTATCACTCGCAGCCTCTCCTGAGCATTCCTGTTCCCTGCAGCAGCTGACTGTCGATAGTGTCTCATCGCTTCTGCCAGGTTTTGCTGCACTCCAAGGCCCTTCTCATAGCAAACGCCCACGTGGTATCTGCTTTGGGCGTCCTAGCCACAGGAGACAGCACAGTAATCAGCCCCACACGATGGAGAAGTGACGACAGCATACAAAAGGAGAACAGACAGTCCTTAGCACCAACTTTGAAGTTTATTCCTCTATCTTTGGTTCCTCAGACTGTATCTTTCGTAATTTTGTCCCTTCCTTTGACAAGCACATCGTCAAGCAGAAATTCTCACCAGGCACCTCTGACACCACTCCTCCCTATCCCTTTCTAATTAAAGTCATTGATTGCCCTTCACTGTCCAGGTCTGTGTCACAGGAACAAAAGAGCATCCAGACTTTCTGGGGGTCAGAATTAAGAGGTCTCACTGCACCCACATCCTGCTCACACCCAAACTGTAAACACACCCTGTGGAATACCGTACTACAGTTCACACAGATGTCTTGTAAAAACAGAACAAATGCCAGAGGTCTTGTTACCAAGGCTGGAAGATTCCCCTTGGCAACCCTGCAGTCCATCAGGCCTGCAACACAACAGTGCACCACTAGCATGCTCGGCCCCACTTAATTATATTCCAGAAGAAATCTCAGGCAGCAGAAAGGAAGTCAAGCAAGTAAGTGTTACAGAAAAAGCATGAACTACTCAGGCACACGCAACTGCTGAGAATGAACCAGAAATTGCAGATGGGTCAGCAAATCCAAACCCATAAATATGTTTGCATGTCAGCTGTGCACTTTATGTCTCTCATCCAATGCTGGGAACATGGTCTCATAGCAAAAAAGAAAGATGACAGTCCTGAAGACAGTGAAAAACACACACAGGCAAGTGGTCATGCAGACCTTTTCCAGTGAAAAAGCCAGTAATGCTATTTGAGTAGTGTAACTGCCAGAAAAGTGATCTAAATAAGGCTTTGAGGGAAAAAAAAAAGTAAGTGGCAAGTTTGCAAGTTTTAATAAAGCCATAAGAAAGGAACATATTGCAAGTGTTGCTGTCTGGGATCTAGCTGGTGAAGGAAAGCAAAGAACTCAATGAGTGGGCGCCCTGCAAAATGTTTCGAGTCTCAGTTTATGACAGCAATAAACTTCTTTAGAGATGAGGTAAGCATGTTGAAGGTTTGACTGCTCAGATATGACAAGATACAAAGTTAGATAAGTATGAAATATTCCACTAGTGGTTTCTTACATGATGAACACCTCAAAGACCACCACCAGGAGAGGAGATCTCCAAATTAGCATGGCATGCGTGACTGTAATATACTTTGAAATCTGACTCAGTTCTTTAAGAACACTCTTTAACACATTTCTTATATTCTGTGCTTGTTCCGATAAAATTAGGGAGAATAAAATAGATAAAATGGTTACTTTGGTAACTAAAGTAAAACACAGTTCTCTGAAGCATTGCAGTGTTTGGAAGAATGCTTGTCAGAGCTACCCCTGTGGCTTTCGCACAGCAGAAACCTGAAAAATATCAAATCCCTGCATTTTTGTGTTTGTTTTTTCCTTCTTAAGTTGTATTTAAACAGTGCCATTTCTCCTTTACTCATAACCAATAGTCTTTTAGCCAACTAAACATAAGTTCTACTGAACTGAAACACTCCAGGGTGCCAAGGGTAATTGAACATACTCATGGAGAATTTTTTCCAGCTGAACACATGGGGTTACATCCCAGGGATCCTGCACATATGCCTGTCATCAAAGACAAGGCTGTGGTACGTCTGTGGCCAACATCCACTGGGAAGCAGAGTTGGGGAAACATGACTGGCTTCTGAGAACTGTCTTGGCTGTAACCTAAACTCTGACCTACTAAGGAGTACTGCTGGGACCAGCAGTTACCTCTTGGATTTTCTGCTTTCAGGGGTTTACTGTGCATCCAGGACAATCAACTATTTAATGAGATGATTCATTGATATTTTGTGCAGCTTACGCATCTGGCATCAGACTGGAAGGAAGAAATCATCTATGAAGCTTACAGGAGATCTCTAGCAGAGTTGGAATTAAACACTATATCAACCATCAAGAACATGATGTTTGAGCATTTGGGGCTATTCTGGTCTAGTCTCACCACTGCTCTAATATCTGCATCCTTAAAAGTGGTGAAAACTGAAGATGTAATGCAAGAGATGTAATGTCATTAAGAGTCATCAAACTTACTGTAAAGAATTAATTAATGAAGACCTCACAACACTATGAGTGGGCAATGCAATCACAGTGCTGACAAATGCAAAGGAATGCATATAGACATGAATTTGGGAATCACTGTGATATCTACCTGAAACCACCAAGTCACCAATCACTGGCAAGCAAATGGGAAAACAGCATTAGGAATTATTAGAAAGGAATATAGAATTAAGCAGAGGAACTCATTATGCCATATCCATGGCATGCCTTCATCCCAAGTCCAGTTTTAGTCCACTTGGTTTAAGATGGATGAAAATTAGAAAAATACAGAGAAGACTGACAAAACAAATGTTACAGTTTAACTACATGGAGAGACAAAATAAACTAGTGCTCTGCAGCCTGCAAAAGAAATGACTCACAGAGGACATACTGAAGGCTGACAGAATCAGAAGTGCTTGCCAGAAGAGGGAAGTTATTCATTATTTTCCATTACAAAGAAGTTGTAGGAACTCAAGTTAAAATGAAAGAGTTCTTCAGAAAAAAAAACAACCTAGCTCCTTATAATACACTGCAATCTGAGAATGAGTGAACAATGTCACAGTGCTGTAAAGAAAGCAGAAACTAAGCTGCAAGACATGAATGTTATACTTCTCTAAGTATGGGTAAGACCACAGGAGCAGTATTGTGTCAGGCATTGTCCTTCAAAAAACAAAACAAAACAAACAAACAAAAAACAAAACAAAACAAAAAAATCCACAAAAAAAGCATGGGTCACTTGGAAAAAATTCAACAGAGAGAAAGAAGATCCAGACAACATGATGTGTGAGGAGAAACTGAAACAACAGGAGAAGGTTGAATGGGGATTTAAGTATTTAAGTACATAAAAGGTCCCTGTAAAGAAATAGAAATAGTTTCTTCATCCTCTCTGTAGGAAGCAAGAAATAATGGGCTTATTTTGAAGAACAGATTCAAGATAGACACAGCAAAATTCTCCCAGTGATACAGTGGTGAAAGATTTTGACTGGAAGGGTGTAAAGGCTCCATAACAGGAAAGCTTTAAAATCATGATGAGGGAGTATTTGCTGGAAACTGCATAAGCACTGGTTCTGTAAGAACTGCTCCAACTTAGTATGGCATTTTCTGTGCTCATGTTTTGAGGGTGTGTGTCCCAGGGTCTGCTTCCTCCCCAAGGTGTGCCAGTGCTCCACTCTGACCTTTCAGACAGCACAGTGAAGTCCTGGCAGTCACTCCCACCTCAAGAAGCCCTGAAATCTGCCACCTGTAACTTGCAAAAATCCCGAAGTCAGAACAACCACAGCTTACAAAGGGATTACTTACACCATTCTTTGCTGCCAGCAATAGGTACTTGAGACCTCTCTTTTCCTTAGGTTGTAGCCCCCTCATGTAGAACACTCCGAGATAAGCCTGTGCCTGCAGCAAAACCACATGATACAAATCAGCCAGGATTTTCCACCTTAATTACTCCTGTTTTTGCAAGTTGTCCGAATGCCAGTAAAAGCTCTGCTGCTGGAGCAGAGCATAATCTCTGGCAACTCATCAGGGACACCTGTGAGACTCACGTGCACAGTATCGTGATTGCAGCAGAGCTTGCTAGGAGAAGGAAGGCTATCCTAAGAAACTCAGTCTGTCATTATAAACATGAAAAATCCAATTTGATCTACAAAACTCCACTATACACACAGTAACACCACCATACTAACAGTATGAGACCTAGAATTTTGTTTCAAACTGTACTGTGGAAGTCAGAGCCAGAGAACGGCTCCTACTCGTGAGTTGTCCGTTAGACATAGCAGATGTACTTCCTGGAACAGTGTGCTACATGAGATACAGTCACTGCCAGAATGGCTTGCATTCATAACACAAGATGCCACATGCCTAAATGTATCCCCTAGAGAGTGGGAAAGGAGGACAGGGTACACAGATCTATGCGGATGAATCATCCTGAAAAGTCAGATATGCTGTATGAGGATCTGTTCCTACTCAAAGCATCTCATGGAAGTTCCTCCACCAAAGCAACCTGTACTCTTGCAATTGAGGGGCAATGAAATATAGTTTTTCAACTGTAGGTCAGTTTTCCTTAGCTGCCAGTCTAATCTAGGCATTGGAAAGAACAATTACATGCATGTTTGGCTCCAGCTTCAGAGCTGATGTAATTCAAAAGCAGGCACCTGAGTCATACATATCCTTTTGCAGTTTTGCAGTCAGACTCATGCTTGTAGAGCAGGATGATAGACTAATCTAAATGGGGCAAAACTGGGATCCTTGCACTTTAGGAACAAAAGATATTTTGGAAAGCTACCTCTACTATGGCTGCAGGCAAGAGAAAGATCTGGAGAGTTTATTGTACCAGAGTTTGAACTGCTCTTAATCCTCAAGGTGAGAACGGCTTTTAGTGATGTAAAAAGTATGCCAAAACATGATACTTGATCCAAATACAGATGTTGTGGAGATCTGTGGTAACTGAGGATACACTTTGCATTCTAGAAACCTGAAATCTACTTTCATGAAGATCCCTATCTTTTGGACGCAGCAGCTTATGTTCACTGACAGCTGATGCATTCATGCTGCACATTTTCCAGGCATGGAACATAAAAGGCTGCCACCTGTCACTAGAGAATAGGCAACTTAACAGGTCTCTAAGAATTGGTGCATTAAGCTCTGTCCTCTTTTGTAAAGTAAAAAAGAGCCTTATATAGTTGGTATCAGTTATGGCTGCATCCTCTCTTCAACCAAGAAAGCTAAGAAGCAACTATCTATCTCAGGCACATGATGGGACCAGAAATTGCATGTTACTAACAAGCAGAAGTCCCATAAGCATACAGAGAACCTCCTGTTTAGGGGGTTTATGAGAGCCACACTAAAAAGCCCAACAGCAAAACAGACAACCAGCACTGTTGACAGAATGGGCACCTAGTTGCCTTGCATATGCAGACAGGGCTGTCCCCATACACAGGCAATAGTAGGAGTATTTAGGAAGAATTTTGCTTTCAGTCCTAAAAAAACTTCTCTCTTTCCTATGAAAACGTTCAGCTTTTATAATCACTCCCATGTGGTGGACACCAACCTCTGTAAGTCCAGCTTCTGCTGCTTGCTCCAGGAAAGTCACTGCCTTCTGAAGCCTATGCCATTCATTTTCAGGACTGTGGTATAAGAGGCATCTAGCATAGCGGTACTGTGCCATGGGGTGACAGCTGCTGGCTGCACGGTAGTAATAAAGAGCTGCCTGGAAACAGAGAAACATACTTGTGTCAGTCAGATAATACATACCCTCAAACATGATGCGACTCCCCTCTGGCCAGGGCAAGCTTAACCTCTCTGTCCAGACCTATCATAAGCTGCACATGCTTACCCTGGCAATCCTCCCACGCTTTCCTGCTGAAAAACATGAGGTCGTTCAAGTGAGAGAGTGGAATACCACTGTACCAAGAGCCCTCTAACTACCTCTGCCTTCTCTAGTCAAAATTCCGAGTTTTGAAGGATATGGCACTGGGCCATCAATACCAAAGCTTACTTCATGCCAGTGGGGATCTGCACAATTACTCAAAACAAGCAGCCTTTGCGATCTTTTTGGGTACAGAAGGATGCTGACTATGGCTGCACTCACTAGGTGGCAGGCTGTAGTTAAGGTAGCCAAACTGGAAGGCTCATAATGTAAAGAAATGCTCGGATATGCAGTGGTGTTTTAAATACAGCAACATGACAGGTTTCTCCTGGGTACTCTTGCAGCTGCTAGTGGCACAGCCTGTGTACCTGCAACAAGACCTCAGCAGCTATGAGAAAGGGGATTTCAAAAGCACATCTCCAAAGGGATCTACAATACCGAAACCAGCACTGCAACCTGCAGCTTATATTATTTCCAGCATTTTCCAGTCAGACTTCAGAGAGTGTCACACCCATTCAAAGGGAGAAAAGTGATTGCGCACCCAATGAAGACTGCTTCCCTGGTGCATGTCACACACATACATGGCTGTACAAGCTGTGGATACCTTTTCCAAGTCTTTTTCTGTGCCTCTGCCATGCTCATAACACAGACCCACATTGAACTGGGCTTTGGTGTAGCCTCGATCTGCTGCCAGTTTGAAGCAGGTATAGCCTATCTGGTAATGGCCTGCTCTCATACTTTCAATCCCTGGGAAGAAAATGGCGTGAAAACAGAGGAAAAGAGCAAAATGCAGTCTCAAATGCAGCAGACACTCCCCAGACCATCCTTGCCCCATGCCAAGTGTTCTGGCCCACTCCTAGCAGGCTCACCAGCCCCCATCCCACATAATCAAAGTTTCTACAGGGAAAACAGCAACACTGTATTTTAGGAACTATTCTGATCTCATTGCAAAGAAGGACCATGTACTAGCACAACATATGGTTAATGGAGAAGCAGTTTACTTTTCTAGTGCTGCAACTAGTGGTGTATGTAGGGCAGGGAGTTTTTTCTTAGATCTCTACATCTTCCTTCAGTTCTTCTTAGAGTTGCAGTTCTGCAATTGCTTTTTCAGCTTGCCAGGAAGACTGAGATCTCAGACAATGAAAAAAGAGCTATGAAGATAGGACAGCTCATGTTGCAAAAAGGACAGAGATGACTTAATTTCCAAATACAGATGTCAGGACAACAGTGCAGATTTCAACCATGCCTGGATTTAAAAATGCTGACATAAATCAGGTGGCAGGATGAGACAAAGGGCAATAAATCTCTGAAAGTATAGTTGAAATTGCTGAAAGAAGGCTTCAGTTTGGGTATATGCCATCTCTGCCTTCACAAAAGGCCTGCAACCATTTGGAGGCCCTCCAAAAAGAGGAACGTGTGGTTTAAGGACAAAACAAACCCAAGTCCACATTACCAAGGATATTGAATGCAATGGAAATATCAACCCGGAAAATCTGTTGCAACTGAAAAGCAGCTTCTTCCAAATGCTCTCGCTGAGCTGGATTTTCCTGCAGAGTCAAAGAAGAAAGTTATAAGACAGCAAAAACATACAAGCCTTAAAAGAGATACTTCTTGGAAATGGAGCAATCTGATATTTGTATTGTCCTGTAGTAAATCAAGAGGGTGATGTAATCTGGTGTCACGTGTCCACACAAAAATCTCCCTGTTTTACACAGACGTTGCTCACCTCTGAGCAGGGAGCCTGGTGTACTCACTTAGATATCATTAGAACATATCAGAATTCAACATACCACACATAGTTCTCCTCCTCAAATGTAAGATTAGCCCTCATTTGCCCTCCAAGATCAATGCACAAGTGGCATTTCTCTCTGTCAAACACGCACTGACATACCTGTATATCCTTTACACAGTTCAAGCTGAGCCAACGCTGACAGCTTACTGAACACTGCAGTCTCCCTAATAAAACCCTGCAGAAACAATGTATTTTCTTCCTCAGTAATGAACAGTATTTTTAACTTCACTGGAGCTCTGGGAGGTGGGAGGATTAGCCTGGCCTGCAGCTTTCATTTCCAAGCTTGAGTACAAATTTAGTGCCATCGAGCGGCAGCAGCACACACTGCACATAAGCCAAGATGCCTCTGCACGGGGAGTCACACTGCAAAAATGCCCCTTGCCACCAAAGAGCTTTACAGCACTTTGAGCTGCTCACAGGAGGACAAGACACAGACCGACTCATCTCCTCCCCAGGGAGCCTCCTGAGACCTGCCCCACTGCACATGGCCTTGCAGATGGATGGGGAGCTCATTTCCCACCTCTCTGGGCAGACCAAGTGAAAACCTTTCTGGTAGAGGAGGTCACATTCACATCAGTGAGGATCTCACTTTGTTAACTGCTGAATATATTTCCATTCTGCTCAGAGTGTCCTTGAGTAATTGCTAAGCTGACTGACTTTTAAAATGGGGAGCTCTGGATTGCAAGGAATTAACAGGCTTAATCACAACAAAAACAATAATATGATTTACAACCCCATGACTCAACCTGATATACCCTCCTCAAGCACAAAATCTCTTCCTTTCTCTAACAAACAAGCCTCAGACTTGATTTGCAGCTTTGGGAGAGGTGACACCACCTCCAGTCATGCACTTGCCTGGAGAAAAGCAAAATAGCAACAGTACACAGACACCTAGTGAATGATATCATCAAAATGCAGATATACCACACTGGTGCTACTTGGTGGGGTTTTTTTGGCACATTTTCCTCCAGTGCTTCTTTACTAGCACTGCTGTTACACAGACACTCTAAAGGACAGAGACGTCAGTTTGTGACTCCTGGAACTCTGCGTTGGCTAAAGGGCAGCACATCACATCTTTCATTCTCCCGGCCTCCAGCTATGCAGTGCAGAAAGCACTCTTGCGTGTGAGTGGATTGCTCAGGCTCTGCTTGGGGTTGCACTGAGATGCCTTTCTGTAGCAAAGGGGCCTCAGGCACAGACGGAACTCACGAAAAAATGAAAGCTTACCTTTGTACTCTGCGGAACTGGCCTCAGGCTGGAGCACTGAGGGACTGGGAACTCCCCTACATTAAAAGAGGGACGAAAAACAGGGTTAAGCAAGGCTGTATATTCACATCTTCCTTCTGATACCTTTCTCTGCTCTTCAGTTCTTTCCTAGACTACTGATCGTGTGCCCAGTTAGGGACATTGACAGAGGCACTGTGACTGATCTGACCTTGGTATCATAATTAGCTAAGCACCATGTGAATGCAGCCCTGGATTCAGCTAATGCACCTCCTCCAGAAAGGGCCCAATCTTGACCTGCTGGAACAAAAAGATAGACAGTCTCCTACTTCTCTTGAAAGTTTGTTCCAGCAACTCGTAATCATGGCTTTAAAAATCTGTGCTTCATTTCAAATTAAAATACATCTGGTTTCTGCTCTCCGTCACCCACTCTCCTAGGCTTTTGTCTCTTCACTAAAAAGCCCATTCTCTTTTTCAAAGTCCTGTTACAACTAATCAACCCCTCTTGATTCTTTTCTGTGATTCTAAACAGACTGAGCTGTTCACATCTTTCAACTGAAGTACTTTTCTGTCTGAGTTGATTAATTTTATGACTTTTTTTTGCCACTATTCCTGAAATTTCAACATTGTTATTGAAGTGAGGACATTCTCACCAGTGTCACGGAAAGGATAAAATTGCCTCCTTATTCAAATTCATAACTGCCTAGTTTGCATGTGTCAGAATCATATTCCTGTTCCTGCTGGCCACAGCATCACACTGAGATCTTATGCCTAGGCGTCTGCCTACCCTAGCTCCTTTTCCAGGTAATTTTCCTTGCAGTATACAGTCCTGCTTCTGCAAGGGGATGATCAGACATGCTATTCTGGCTGCGCTGTTTGCAGGCTCATGTTATCACCCCACCTACTCATCACTGCCCTCACAGGGATGGTGGCATAGCCACCTGTTTAGCCACTATCTGAGTTCAATCAGAATCATCTAATGAAAGCATCTACAACAAAAGCTCAGGCACTTTGCTCTCGACAGCACCGTGCTGGAAGTGATTACACAAGCATTTATGCCAGCTGCTCCAAGAGTATAGTGACCTCCAGCAAAAAGGACGAACAGTGAGGTTTGACTGAGGCCAATTATTTTTTAACCTGAATCACCATAAGCAGCTATGTCCCACTGGGCACCTAATGCAGGTGGTGAAGCCGGGATCACTTTAAGCTGGTACTGCTATCAGAAGTACTTGTGTCCTCCCCACATCTTCCCATCACCCTTTCAAGCTGCATGGCTGCAGAGCAGGCAACTAAAAAGAGTGAGAAGGGCAGTTCTTTTGGAGCCTCAGTGCCTTGACTGCCATCACCATATAGCTCTGCAAACGCCTGTGCTGGTATAGGGGCAGAAGTGAGCACGGGACAGGCAAGATCACTTCTTCTAGTGCCTGTACCAAGCTATAGGGCATGAAGCTGTGACCTGCCTTCCAGCTGCAACCTCATTATTCCTGGATAAACAATTCCCCTCTGGCAGTATTAGAATGTATTTTATCTAAACAAGTCTCACTCACCCAACAAGCAAGATCACTATAGCAAACACAAGTTCAGTTTACCATTCCACCAAAAGTAACATAGTCTGCAAATTTATTAGTTGTACTTTACATTTATTTTCAGATCAGACATAAAATGATCTGATCTTCCTCACTGCAACTCTCTATCTTCTGTCAGTATCTCCCTCATGATGTAGTTTGGTGTTTTGTTTTGTTTTGTTTTTTTTAACAACAGCAAGTCTTGTGAAAAAATAAATAAATTGTCTGTGTTAAAAAAAATGTCCAAACCATTCATTTAAAAAACATTAATCCTTTCACTTGCTCAGGAAACTATCAGATTGTAGAAGCATCCCATACATCCTATGCCTCCCCCCCACTGGAAATCTCTCCTCAAATCTAATCCCAGTAATCTTCCCAGACTAGAGTTACCACTCCCAGAGATCAGAAGATCATTTGGAAGAAAACAGAGGGACCAGCCAATCCTGACACTCAGTCCTATCTCCTGATGGATTAAATCAATGAATTCTCTTGGAAGTCTCATTTGAAGCTGGGCAAGCCGCAAATCAAAACTCCTCATGGAAATCATTACTCTTAGAACTTGTCTCACAGCAGCCCTCTCAAAACCACGCACAAAATCTAACACGTTGTTTAGGTTCCTTCAGTCGTATGTGGAGAAATAAAGGCACCCCCAAGCAGCACAGAATCTTGTTCTGCTTCAGCAAATTGAGATTAGAATTTTCTGTGCAACAATATTTCTACCCCTTTAAATCTGTGTTAAGATGTAACATGACTATGCGCCCCTTTTTTTTTTTCCCATGAGATCTTACAGCTAATAAATATTTTGTGTTTCCCCACTGTTCGTCCTGCACTTACCAAATGTTACTCGCAGCTAACTCCAAATGCAGATTTATTAACCTTCTCATAGATAGTCTAGATTGCTCACAACGAAACATCCAAACACTTCACAGGAATTAATTCACAACAAAAGCTGGCCACAATCCAGGATTTCTGCCTCATGGAAAATTTGAGTGTTTCCAATTGGTTTCATTGTGCTTTGAAATGAAAACACAGTTTGGAAATGCCTGTAATCTCAGAATTGAAATAACAAATTTTACAGTCCCGTCAGGGGTAAAAAACAACTCCCCAAGGCAACATTCAGCTGCTGTACCACTGAGAATGGCTGTAATCACCTGCTTCTGCACTACATGCCTTTAACTTTCAGAAAGAAAAGCTCTGAGCGAGACAAAAATTGGATGAAAAAATAGGATGTGATCATGCACCTGAAAACTTGCTGACAGTAATACCTGGAATTATCTGTTAAGCAACTTTTCAACAGATTTCCTCAAGTTTTCTTTTTAAACACACTTTTTGGGTTGTTTTTTCTTTTTTAAGTAATAGATTCTATCCTACTGTGTTATACTAAAACTGGGATGGGTTATCTGCGCAGCTGGGATGTTTGTATACATTGCAAAGGTCTTTGCCACTCAAGAAAACAGAGTAGCTGTTTCTAGCAGTTTCAGAGTAGCACATTGCTGCTGCCTACCACCCTTTGTCACTACTTCAAAGCAAAAGAGTCAGTCTTTCTCTACAGTTTGCTCTTTCTCATCCTCGTCTATGCCATTTTGGTTACTGTTTTTTAAGACAGAGTGCACTTCCTGAATTGTTCAAGGTGCAGCTATGTTACACTTACAAAGATCTATGATACTGTTTTGGCCTCAGCTCCTTCCTTTGCAACAAATAACATTTCATTTACCTCATTGCTGTTGAGCACTGAGTTAACAGTTTCAATGCAATCATTGATTTGAGACTCTTCACTCTGTATGTATATTTACAGTTACAGTTCCCTGAACATACTCCTTTAACCTACCTTAAGATCACCCTCTTAGATCTTGTGCCAATCTTTTGCTGTGACTTCTAGGTTTGACTGTCCTGAATAATTTTGTAATTCATTTGCTTCTCCTGTCACCTCAAGCATCACCTTTTTCCAAATCACTGCCGACTCTGCTAAGCAGAACAGGTTTCTGTAAAGCACTTAGGGGAATCCACTAGTAATGGCTTTCCATCATGAAAGCCATTTCTTACGCTTTAAGGAATTTCTAGCCGAAGAGCAGTCCCTCTGTCTTCCCTCACAACAGCTTTATTCCTCCAGATAGCTTTGGCTTAGGTCCTGGTTGAAAGATTTTCAGAAAGCTAAAAGCTGGATAATCTTGCTCCACATGCCTGTTGACTTCTCCAGAGAACTCTAATAGATTTACAAACTCTAACTCTGCTCTCTGTTAAGACTCAGGTAATGGAGCAAGCTGGTCAGAGAAATGGCTTCCTAAGCCCTTCCAGACCTTTGATGTAGTACACTCATCCAGGTACCTAACATTTCTACTCTATAATACAGTTTCTATCACCCTATAATTACATTTTTTGCAGTTCCACGGCAAAAACAACCCTGCTTTTCGAAGGCTAGTGTTTAATTCGTCAGTGTTCAGTCTGGTCATACAGCAGATTTCAGCTCTGGATTACATACCATCATTAGAGACTTAGTGATTTCATAGCCTCCAGAGAACATCTGAACAAAGAGCATGTGGCCTTAGTGACTTGTCACGGTTCAATTTGTCAGTTTGCCTAAAAGCTCTCCCAATTGACTCTCAGTAGGAAACTGTTAGATATAGACACACATTCACTGCCAACTGTGCCAAGTGAAGATAGACCTGTCTCCACTTATTCCCCACCTCTCCCAGAGGTCCATGTCCAGTCATCTGCCAGCAAGGCAGTGTATCTGAATGCTTCTTAATACGCTTCAGGCAAAAGCAGATGGGTTAAGCAGTCTAATTGGCAGTTTAGGTAAATTAACCTGGCTGTTTTCCTGGAGCTAATTAGGAACATGGAAACAAAATGCTCCATTTGCCAACTGATGGGAATGGTAACCTCTGGCAGGAGATGGCTTTGATAAGCAGTGATGGGCAGTAGCTTAAATCAGCACAGAAGCAAGCAATGAAGGGGGAACCCCCTTGACCCTTCTTGCAAAACGTTACATCATCTAACATCTGTGAGCTGTTTATTTAATGTCTCATGTACACCACAATCATACGTTCCTGCAAAGCTACTATTAGTAGTTATACATCTAGTGAATAAACCTTAATCTGACCTTCCTTGATATGACTTAATGTTTTAGATGTTAGGACACATTTTCCTGGATGACACTACTTTTTTAAAAGTATATTTTCTTGTTTTTATAAGACCTACTTCAATAAGAATTCCTTTAATACCTCCTCTTACCACCCTGTCTGGAGCATAAACGCTCATTTTCATACTCCTGGAAGAAAATAATTCCCTTAGCATCATTCTGTATAGTGAGCCTCTCAGTTCACTCTGCAATATTCTCCTGAAAGCTCTTGATTGCATATGTCTGTCCACAACAAAAGAACAGAAACTGGATATTGTATGCTGGTCAAAAGGCAGACCAACATTAGGAAAGTCAATACTGCTGCACAGTTATACCATGGGCTCCTCCCTGCCTTCAGGAGCTGTTTTCTCTCTGTCTCTGGACTCCTGATTCATCACTCCAGAGTTCTGTCTTTCCATTCCCTCTTCCATGGTTCAAGAAACGTCTACATTGCTTCTTGGGTCCTAGCTTTGCCTTAGGAAAACTGAAGTTCTTCTCCTACAGGCATCCTGCCCTGTAGCACATTGCACATACCTTCTTCTGCCCACAGCTGCCTCTCTCCTAGCCCCGAGGGGATGCCTGAGGATGAATTCTCTGGTGCAAGCTCTGCATTCTGCAGGAAGCAGGGCCCCAGCTGGGCACAGGGAAGGCCGGCTGAGGCATCAGGCACCACTGAAACACAGAGCACAAGTCAGTTCCCATGAGCCACACTGCATGCACTCTAGGAGGCAAAGCAGAACTTATCTATTCCAGTTGCCTTCTCTGCTCCGGCAACAAAACTGAGCAGCATTGCTCACGTGTAAGGCCCAGATCAGAGGACCAATACTATGGGAAGCGGAATGTAATGTGGGATTGCATCAAACAGGTAAGAAAGAGTAAGATCCCCCGAGCAGACACCAGCCCTCGGTCCCTCCAGGGAGCCTGAAAGCTGCCTGTCAGCTTCTGACAGCAGCAGGAGAGACGTGAGCTGTCGGGAGGCAGAAATCCTGCCCACAGCCGGGTCCTCCCAACCCAGCGCTGCTGACCTGCGTGCCGTGCGGGCAGCGATGGCAACCAGGGAAGCCTGGGCTCCCTCCTGGCGTCCGGCAGCGATCGCAGCCACGAGATCTGCCTGACCAGCTGCAGCAGGAGCGCGGCCAGTGCTCCCTGGAATAGAGACAACACAAGTCAGGGGAGTTTCCAGCCTACTGGAAACCCTGGGCCCGGCTTGCCGTGCCACGGCGCCCGGCTCCCCGCGGGGCACGGCGTCCCCCGCCCGCCCAGCCGCTCCTCACCCAGGTGACGGCGTCCAGCACGGAGTAACGCGGCAGCAGGCCGGGCAGCGGCTGCCGCCGTCCCTCACGCTCGCGGCCATGGCGGGCCCCGCACCTGCAAAACACAACGCGGTGACGGCGGCCCTCGCGCCCCGATGGCCGGGCAGGGCGCGCCGCCTCGAGCGAGTGAGGGCCGCACTCACCGCGCGGAGCCGCGGCTGTCGGCAGAGTCAGGGGCGGCGGAGGCCGCGGGCCGGGCGGGCGATGGCAAGTAGCGCGCGAAGCCGCCGCGGCCCAGCAGCAGCCGCCACATGTCGCCCGAGGGACCATAGAGAGGGCGCGTCGCTCGGCGACCGCGGAGCAGAGCGGCTCCTCGCGGCCATAGAGAGGGTGGGATACCGGAGTTCGGTGGGGTGTTCCCGCGGGGCTGCGGTGACAGCTCCTGAGTGGGGCTGTGGAGAGAGAAGAGTTCTGACGGGCTGAACGGGCCGAAGGCAGCGGGAAGGGGCTGCGGGCGGTCTGAGGCCGTGAGGACGAGGGGGATAGAGCGGCGCGTACCATAGAGAGGAGCCGGAGCGCCCTGCCCGCCCCTCGGCACAGCGCGGGAACGGCGCGGCGGACCCGGACCTGGGGCGGCAGCCTGCAGCGGGAACGAGCGGGACGGGAGGGGGGTGGTCTGATGTGGGCCTGGGGGGGTCCCTGGTAGCTCAGGGGGATGAATCCCCTGGGGGCAGGCGGCTGTGCTGGGGGGGTTCTGTGGGTAGAGAGGCCTCCTGCTTGCCTGAGAGCGTCCCTGCGGGGGGAGGCATGAAACGTGCCACAGGCTGCGCGAATGCAGCATCTAATCATCTCATAAAGAGCCTTGTTTGTAATGCAGGAGGGCCTGAGACAGCGTCTGGGCAGGCTGCGGTTCAGTTGCACAAGGAGAAGTGCAGGGAAGACACAGACCTGTTGGACGGCCACAGAAATGATCCCAGCACTGGAAACACCTCCCAGCGAGGAGAGGCTGAGAGCTGGGGCTGTGCAGGTGGAGATGGCTCTGTGGAGACCTATAGCAGCCTCTCAGTATCTCAAAGGGCTGTTGGAAAGAAAGGGACAGACTCTTTAGCAGGGTCTGTAGTGATGAGATGAGAGGAAACGGTTTCAAACTAAAAGAGGGGAGATTTAGAGTGGATACAAGGAAGATGTTTTTATGAGAAGTGAGGCACTGGCAGAGTGCTCAGAGGTGTAGTGGATGCCCCATCCCTGCAGACCTCCAAGGTCAGGCTGCATGGGGCTCTGAGCGCCTGATGGAGCTCTAGGTGTCCCCATTCATTGCAGGGAGTGGGACTAGATGACCTTTAAAGGTCCCTTCCAACTCAAACGATTCTATGAAAAAGGTCATGTCAGGTGTGATCAGAAACTTGAGTAATCCTGCAATCAGTGGTTTGATTAGTTATGAACATTCATAAGTGGGGAAATTGAATACATGAAACGTTGGAGAATGGAAATGTATGAAATAATGCATGAAGTGAGCCCGCAGCACCCCTATCAGCCCACAGCCTGGCTCAGTGATGGAAGTGCTCACAGAGGGTCCTGGGCTCTGCGTACTGCTGTGTTTGGTTCAGCTGTGCTGCAGCAGGAGATGGCAGAGTTCCCAGTCAGCAGCACCAGTGTGAGAAATGGATGTGCTTCCTATTCTCCTTACCCTGGTGGATTTCTTCAGAAGTATGAATGTTGCTGTTCCTGTGCTCACTGCAGCCGAACGGTGCACTTTCATATCTGTTTCTTAGTTCTGTAGGCACATAAATTCTTGGTCATTCTGGCAATTTGTCTCTTTTTCAAGAATATGGTTTTCCCTTTGCTGGTAATTCTTGTTATGAACTCGTAGTTCTTGTTCAGCATTATTCCTGCTGTCTGCGTGGATGGCTGCAAGGTTCAGCTCTGAATGTGGCTTTTAAGGGGATATGGAATCAATCTGCTGTCATCCTGAAAGCTTTATCCAACCACTAGATTTCTTTTAGTTCTTCATACTTCTTTTTCTTTTTTTTTATGGTATCATATGGGGCACGTTGTTTACCGTTTTCTCCACAGATCTGTCCTGATACTGTAATTATAAAGTTGTTTAGCTATCTGTTTTAGTAAATGTATCTATATAAAAAGCTGGATGTTATGATTGTCTTGCTATAATGTTACTAGATGTATTTCCCAAGCTACTAAGTTTGTTTGGAGATGAAAATTAGATGCAAAATAGAAATATAAGCACCTCCATTCTGTAATCTTGCCATAATTTTCTCTCTCATCAATGTAGTATCAGTAATTAATGCTCCTAGAAACGTACACTTTCTTTGTTGCTATGGGTTTATCCAAGATCTCAGCTAATCACAGAATTATTGTTGCTGTTATCCTAGTTTTCTTTCAAGTCCCCAGCTGCCTGGTGTGTGATACTCTGTCTTTTCTGCAACTGGCAAGTCAATAGCAAAGCTAATCTGTTTTGATTCATATCATGAGGATGCCACAGGAGTTGGAACAACTTCAGTTGTGCAATTGCTGCGCATTTATGGCTTCTACTCTGGAAAAGGAAAATAGCTGAATGAAGAGGAGATGAGGGAGGCTCTGAGCAATGAGGCAGGGGACTGTCCAGAGTGAGATAGCCAAGGTTGGTGTGGGGTAACATGGCTAACGGAGCAAATGTGGTGGTGGAGCGATGTGACTGAGCTGTGCAAGCAGGAGGGCTGCGTGTTCTGTGCTTGCTCAGGTCAGCTGCTTTGTGTCCTTGCAGTGAGAGAGTGGGAAGGAGATGGGGAACAAAGGTGATAAGCCATGAGGAATTGCTGCAGGTGCTGGAGTGCCTGACTACAGCTTTTCTGATAGTAGGTGGTGGGATTTTATTCCTTGTCTCCAAGGATGCTGAGGGAAGGAGTCAATATCATTGCAGGGTCACTTTGAAAAGTCATGGTAATTCAGGAGAGGTTTCTGTTGGTTGGAAAAAGGCAAATATCATGCATACATGCAGGAGAGGTGGGAAGAGGGATTGGGCAGTTTTAGAGCAGTCAGCGTAACCTCAGCCTCTGGAGAGGTGGTGGCACACCTTTCCCTGGAAAGCCAGGGCATGTGAAGGGCAAGAAGGTTTTGGGAACAGCGACTGTGAGTTTGACAGGTGCAAATTGTGCCTCACCAGCCTGTTTGCCTTCTGTGATGAGACAGGGTCAGTGAACAAAGAGAGAGCTGCGTGTGTTGTGTACATTTACTTTAGCAAGGCTTTTGACACTGCCTCCCATAGTACTGCTTTACCACGTTGGTGAGGTATGGGCTGGATAAATGGGCTATAAATGAGATGCAAAATTGCTTGGATTCCTGAGCTCAGATGATGGGGATCTGTGGAACAGCCAACTGAGTGACCTGAATAGGCAGAGAGATCTGGGTTTGTTATCACATAATAATTTAAAGAAAATAAATACTTTGCTCCTTAAGGAATATGTTTATTTTGGTGGAAAGAAGAAACCAGGCTGGTTTCAGAAAGTAAGCTAAAACCAAACATTGAAATTCTAAGAGGTCATACAAATTCTCAGTCTTACAAAAGCCTTAGAATTGAAGTCACTCTTTTATTTGTTGGTTTAAATACTCGTTAATGTCAGTCTTCTTTTAAAGTCTGGGCAAAACCAACCTATCCAAGATCCTCGTTGTTTCTTTAAGACACTTTTGCCACTGCAATTTTATTCCCTGTGTGCTGGAACTGTTTCCTCCTGTCTCACAGTGGTCTTTGGGTGAGTTGGTTAATTATTTTGTCTGTGTTTCCTTTTTCCACATCTTGAGCAAAGTAACCCAATAGAAGATGCAAGCTTTGATGCACATTTTTTTCTCTAGTTAGAAATTTATGGTAAAAATATCAGGCGACTCTGACCAAGTCTACTTGAAACACTGTAATTACAGATGATCTAGTTTCACAGCTCACAGACAAAGAAAATGTGTTTGTTTTACTTTATTAGATTTCTTATAATATGTTCACACAAAAACAAATGTACATATACATACTCTGTCAATACTGCCAACTGCAATTTATTAAGGTTTATAAATTTATTCCACTAGGTCACTTTATTGTTAAACAGACAATGAATGCAGGATCAATGCTAAAGATGGGAAGCCTACGTTTCCAAGTAAACAATCTCATCTTTCTACTAAAAGGTTTATAAGGGATGTTTTTGAGGAGATCATAATTAATTACAGACTTAAAACCTGAGCTGTGTTTCTCTTAATGTGGTTGTGTTTTTCTAATACGAAAATAAGGGAAGGAAGGTATTTGGGTATAAGCTGAAGCTTGCACTGCTGCTCGCTCTTCCCTGCCTGCTGCAATGCCCCTCAGTCAGTCAGTGTAATCCAGAGCTGATGCTGGGAACGTGATTGGGGGATATATCTTGTTGCTTTGTGATGAACTCCGAGGCCCTGGGAGAATCTCTTGGTGTTGACAGCCCCTGACAGTAAATGTCACATGAATTCGGAGGGAGCTCAGAGCCTTTTGGTGACTGCTATGAGAAGAGACATAATGACAGAAAACCTGATTGATGAGCAATGCCACAAGTAGAGGGAGTGCTGTGTGGTGATTGCCTATAATTGAATGGTCCATGGAAGTTATTTCTGGGTTTCCTTTGAACGGTGACATACACTCCCAAAGTGTTTTCACATGGGAGACCTGCAGATTTTAACCCTTGTACTTGGCAGCTCCCCGTTAACACCGCATTAACAGACCTTAAAATGTAATGGGCTGTTTTTACTTTGTGCCCCACGCTGAGCTGTATCACAATAATTAAACAAATGTCGACAACCAAAGATGGTTGGTTGTGCAATTACCTCTGGAAATGTTTCGTAGTCAGCTTTTGCCTCCTCTTTTTATTGCTTCCTCCTTGTAGCTCAGCTCTGTGATCTGACAGCACGGAGACGTTGATTATCAAGGTTCTCCCGAATCTGATGATGTGCTCCTGTACCACGGGCTTGTCGCAGCCATGTTAAGCACAGCAGTGATGCTCGTGGCATTAAATGGGAATGTGAGCCCTTCCAGACCCCTCACCCAGGAAAGCAGCTGCCCTCACTGACCAATTAAATTGCCTTCCCTCTCATTAAAACCCTTGTGCAGGCTCTGGTATGTCACAGATCTTTAAAATCTCCATTATAAATTCCACTTTCTTCTGGGTATTTTTAGCTTATACTTGAAGAAATGATTATTGTCTCTTGCACTTAACCATATCAATTTTGGCTCCACAGACATCTCCTCTGGGCCATATTGAAAGACCTGAGCTGATTGGAACTGCTGAATCTGTAGGGAGGATTTCAAGAGAGCTCTGAGTACTGGGACATGGGAGGTGTGCAAGGAGTGGGGAGGAAAATTCTAGCCCTCCCCCCTTCCCTTTGGTAAGTCAGGAGCACATCCCTTACAGATTTACTTGGTTGTGCCAATTTAATGTGATTTCTTCCGAGGGCCAGGAACCACTCAAGGAAGGCTGACAGGTTTTATCAACAGAATGGAAAGTGAAGTGATAAGGTGAGAGTTATTGACCTGATAACTAACAAACAGAAAACTTCAGTGTCCCTCAAGCTAAATATTGCACTCAGCAGGTAACTAAAAGATGGCAACAGCTGTGGTCTTGTCACTGAGTGAGAGTATGTTTTCATGTAGAGGAGCAGGAGGTGAACTGTGAAAACAAACACATTCAGTTTGCTACAGACTATTTCCCTCTATTACTTTTAATGAGAGCTAAACTCCAAAATGCACAATGGGACAATAATATTTTAGATAGAAGGAACTCTTTGTGCAGATCCTAAGTTCTAGACACCAGGTTGCAATTAAAATGATTGCTTTCGTATTATTAATAGCTCACCAGTAGTTTAAG